CGTGAGCGCCATCAGGTCATTATGACTGAACTGGCAGCCCGGCAGAGCCCATGATGATCATTCCGCTCCGCATGGACCGCCCCGGTAAGTCTACTTTTACACCGGCGATACGGCACGACGCCTGTCCGCCGCCGAAAGCACATATCACAACCGTTGGAAGCAGCCGATTGGCAAGGAGCATAAAACATGAATGATGAAAACAAACCCGCCTACTTTGTAGTTTGTGGCACTACGTTAGGTGGCGAGGTAGACCCGCAATACGCAGAGCGTGCAGGACCTGTCGCAATGCAATCGGGGTTGACCCCGATTGCCGGGGGTGAGGTGGGTAGCGAGAAGATAGAAATACTTGAAGGTGAGCTACCCCCGGGGACAACGTTTTTGGCGATAGAGCAGTTCCCATCGATGTCTGCATTGAAGACCTTTTACTTCTCGGACGAGTACCAGGGCGCCATCCCGTTTAGAACGGACGCCATAAAGATGAACTTTTTGGCTGCCGTTGACGGCATCTCGCCAGCTGAACTGGCGGCGCGTGCGGAAGCGGCTGCCGCTGCGAGATCCGATGACGAAACTGCTAAGCCTTGACCTAAAGTGTTAAAACTTATATAAAAACACATCATCACATTGGGGAGTGTGAAAAATGGCCAAAAGTCCACGCGTAAAAGAAGACGCTTACCTCGGCAGCACGGAAAAACTGTTGGGTGGGGCTGGTGGTGCCAGCGGTGCTGCGCTTGAGCGAATCCTCGCGAACATTGATCGCTTAGGCCTGAATCAAAACCTGATTGAGCTTGAGACTGAGGGCTACACCATGCTCAAAGGTGTGCTTTCGGAGGATCAGGTCAACCGTGCCAAAGCTGCCATCCTCAAGCGTGTGGAGGCAGAGACTGGCCATGCGATCGATCTCGAGACCGCGACTGCAGATGATTTCAAGAATCTGACCTATGTGTACTACATGCTCTACGAGGATGAAGTCTTTGAAGAAATCCTCATGGCGGAAAAGCCGCTCGCGCTGATGACTTATCTTCTGGGTGAAAGTTGTCTGCTGTCCAGTGTTGGTTCGCACTTCAAAGGCATAGGTGAGCAGGGGGTTGTGCCATTGCACAGCGACAACGGCAACGGCATTCCTCAACCTTTCCCGCCCTATTCGCTGTGCGCAAACATGAATTATGCGTTAACGCCTTACAGCCGCGAAGCGGGGTCGTTGGCGGTAGTGCCAAAAAGCCACAAATTGTGTCGCCAACCCACTTTGCCTGAAATGGCGTTGGGGGCTGAAAAGGCCAACCCTGAGGCGCGTTCGATGGATCTGTCTCCGGGCGATTGTGTGGTCTGGCACGGCAATACCTGGCATGGCTCTTTTCCACGCCAGATTCCCGGAATTCGCATGAATCTAGCGGTGTTCTTTGCGCGTCAATTTGTTGTAACACAGGAGCAACACAAAGGCGTTGTTCCTCAGGAGGTGCTTGACCGACACGCGAACAATGAGCGTTTTAAGACTTTATTAGGGGCTAAACAGCCCTATAACTGGACCTCTGAAGGTCCTAACTATGAGTTACAGGCGCGCGCGCCCAGGGGTTTGTACGATTAGCCTCTAGCAGCAAACGTTCTGTTCATGTCACTTTGGGAGAGGAGATTATGATGTTTAAGCAAGAGCGAACTGAGTTCGCGCCGCTGTTTCGATGGATAGCAGTCCTGAGCGCGCTGAGTAGTGTGTTAGTTACGTCAAACGTTTCTGCAGAAGATTCCGGGCGGGTTGTCGAAGAGATTATCGTTTCAGCCACCTATCGCGATACGGCGTTGCTGGACACACCTATTGCGATTACCGCGTTAGATGAAGAGCTGCTCATCGCCAAAGGCGTGACAAACCTGCAGAACCTCTATCAATCTGTACCGGGCTTGTCCTATCGCTCAAATAGCAATTCTTACAACGGGCTGACTGTTCGCGGGCTCACGTCGCCTGGCGGTGGCGGGTCGATTGTTGGTGTTTATATCGACGATATTCCAGTAACCGATGCCAATTCTGGCGGTGTAAGTCAAATTTTAGGCACCTTGTACGATGTACAGCGCGTTGAAGTATTGAAGGGTCCCCAGGGCACCTTGTACGGAGAAGGAAATATGGGGGGGGCTTTTCGTTTTATCACAAACAAAGCTGATCCTAATGAGTTTGACTCGAGTTTTCGAACACAAGTCAGCGACCATTCCGAGAGCGAAGACTTGACCTGGCAGGTCAACGGTATGATAAATGTGCCTATTGTGGCTGATACTCTGGCTCTCAGGGTGTCCGGGCAATATCGTGATCGCGCGGGTTTTCTTGATACGGGTCCGTCTCGAAATGAAGACGATACTAACTTTATAGAAGAGTCTGCACTGCGCGCAAAACTTGCCTGGTATCTCTCAGATACATTCTCGATTGATGCAACCATCAACTACTTTGATTCGGAACACGGTGGCCCCGGTCTTGCAAATATCCCCTACGGAACAACGGATTTAACCAATGCCAACTGGGAAAATCTGTATACGAATGGCGGCAGTGATGAGCAGTGGCAGTATAACCTGTCTGTAAACTGGGAGTTGCCCTGGGCTGACTTTTTGTCGTCAACATCCTACTACGAGCGTGATGTTGATCACGCAGAGCAAACGTCATTCCGCTTTCAGAATCAGGTAGAGCTGGCTATTACCCCATTGCTGCGTCTACCCGAATTTGGACCAGGTATACCTAACCCTTTTTACAACCCAGCGTTTCCCACAGAGGGTGTGGCCATTGAGGCGGCTGGTGGTACAGGCACCTTTCGGCGCCGCGTCCACCGCGTTGTACAAGAGTTCCGATTGGTTTCTACCACTGACGGACCGTTTCAGTGGACGGCGGGGCTGTATTACAAAGACGATAGCACCAACAATGGAAATGAAAGCATACCGGCGTTTGGTGTGACTATGAATCCGGGGTTCGAGGACTTTAAAGGTCTGTACGAGTCGTTTTTTCCTGGCGTTGAAGTGGAGTTCGATAACAAAGAGACGGCGCTTTATGGTGAGGTGAGTTACGATTTGTCTGACCAGTGGAATGTGCTCGTTGGCGCGCGATTTTCTAAAGTTGAGCGTGAGCAGACGAATCTGAATGTGCCCGGCGTAGACGATAACCTGTTTTCACCGAAGGTCACCGTTTCGTTCAGGCCCGTCGAAGATCACCTGATTTATCTGACATACGCCCAAGGTTTCCGTCCTGGCGTCATCAACGCCGCAGTACAGCCGGCGATCAATTCGTTACTGCCGCTTGCAGCCGTACCCGGTGTACAGGAGGACATCGACTTTTTGAACTCAGTGCTGGTAGTTGAGGGCGATGAGGTTTTCAACCTGGAACTGGGTTACAAAGCCTCGTTGTTTGACGGACGGCTCAAAGGCAGTGCGGCCATCTACTATCTCGATTGGAAGGACACTCTGCAGCTGCAGAAGCGCCCTACACTACTCGCGCCAGCTGGTGTCAACTACAACGAAAATGCGGGTAAAGCCCATTCTCAGGGTATTGAGCTCGAGTTTGACGTGCTGCTGACAGAAAACCTGAGCTTTCATTTTGGTGGTGATTACAACCATGAGGCAGAGGTAGAAACGTTATCTGCTGGGGTATGGGCGGATGCAGACGGTAACCCGGTTGATGTCTTGCCCGGCAACAGGCTCGGTTTAGCACCTGAAACCACTTTTAATATGGCGCTGGACTATGGCTTCAATGTAGGCGCAAACCGCGGCTTTGCGCGAATGGACTGGTATCGGGTGTCAGAGAGCTTCAACAATGCAGCCAATGAAGATGTAACCACTGGATACCACACAGTTAACGCAAGAGTGGGGCTGCGTGCTGCCGACGGGCGGTGGTCAGTAAGCCTGTTCGGTGACAATCTGCATAACGATGAGGTGAAGTTCGAAACGAACGCGGTAGGCACCAATTATGGTTTGGCCCGGGTTTTCGGCTTGGATTTTCAATGGAACTTGAACGCAAGGTAAGCAACCTTAGTTTTTTGTAGGAGACCATACATGAACAGCAGCGCCATAGGATTGAGTGATGAAATACGGGCCCTGGGACTTGAGCAATACGTCCTCGAGCTCGAGACGGATGGGCTTACCATTGTCCCGCCAGAGGTAACGGGTGTGACATCGGAGTTTCTCGACCATTGTACGGACGTCCTGCTGGCGCGATTCACTGCGATGACCGGTTGCCCGATCAGTCTGGAGAACGGACCTGAAGGCGAGCTGGACTGGCCATCGGTCGACCCTGTAAGCCCCGATATTCGGCTGCGAGATCCGAATGCCCCCGAACCTTCGCAGATGTTGATCCAGCAGCTGCTGCAGGTGGACCGGTGTTTCCGCGACCTGGCGGTGAATCCGGTTGCCGATGCGCTGATCGACCACATCATGGGTCGCGGACCGACCGGTGCTCGAGCGCGCCGTCTGTCGAGTACTAACTCGTTTGTGAAGTGGCAGGGCGACTACGGATACGGGCCTGCACTTGGGCTGCATGCAGACCAGGGTGCCTGCCCGCTGCCTTGGGGTGATACGGCCTTGACGGCCAATGTCACCTGGACACTGACCGATTACACAAAAGCCGACGGTGCGCTTGCCTGGGTGCCCGGGTCCCACAAGAAAGGTTGCCATCCTGTCCAGCCAATGGCGACAAAAGCTGCGATTCCAGCTGAGTGCCCCCGGGGTTCTGCAATTATCTTTCACGGCGCCACCTGGCATGGCGCTTTTCCTAAAGAGACACAAGGGCTTCGGCTTTGTGCCGTGGGTTACTACCGACATCACTCAGTACTCCCCCAGGAGAACATGACAGTGACGATGGAAAATCAGCCCTGGAGCGATTGTGATGATGCGGATCGGATGCGTGAGCTCATCGGATTCGATGACAATTTCCCTTATCAGGCGCAAAGCTACCCGGTGCCTATGGCGGCGACCAATTGATCGAGCCGGATAGCCTTCAGTGACATTAAAACAGACGCATTGCGATAGAAAAAGGAGCAACCATGAGCGAAGCGGTACAACTACCAGAATTTAACACAGCGCTGTCCTTCAGTGACGACAACCTGCCCGATATGGGCGCACGAACGGAACTGTATCGGGAACTCAAGCAGCTGGATTTGCTCGAGAACCTGGCTGAGCTGGATTTCTACGGCTTTACGGTGATCCCGCCTGAAAAGGTCGGGCCGGCAGCGTTTCACGCAAAGATGAAGAAAGCGTTGATCGAAGTCATTGAAGCGCGTTTTGGTAAGCTCAAGAAGGATGGCACAAGCTGGCAGGGTGCAAATCAGATCCTGCGCCTGATCCTCTGGGAAAATCAGGTCTTTGAAGAGCTGCTCATGAATCCAGCTGGCCTGGGTCTAATCCAGTCGGTGCTCGGCCACAACTGCATTCTTTCGCTGTTTGACGGCTGGGTGAAGGGGCCTGGTGACGAGCGCACACCCATTCACCCGGACCATTGGGACTTCAACCGACCCACATTTCCGCCCGAGCCAATGAGCTGCAACTTTAATTACCTGGTAACCGATTACACCATTGAAGACGGCCCGCTGTCGTTTGTGCCCGGCAGTCACAAGTGGCATCGCAGACCCTCCCCTCAGGAGGTTGAGCATTGGGCGGATCGAGCCCACGCGGTTGTGGCGCCGGCCGGCTCGATGGTGATCTGGGGTGACCTGACCTGGCACGGGTCGCTGCCGCGCAAGAACGCCGGCGAGCGGATGATGATTCTAGGCACCTATAGCCGCAGCTACCTGCAGACCCAGGAGCCTTTCCGGCAGACCGTCACCCAGGAAGCGCTGGCTCGAAATCCAATACGCTTTGCCGGTCTGATGGATGTATACGCGCCATTTCCGTTTGGCAAAAACGACATCGATGCAGAGCGCGCCATGACCAACGTCAACAATGGTGCAGCGGATATGGCGCCCTATCGTAGCCTGTTTGATCGTGAGCCTGCGGGTGACAAGGTAACGCTGCGCCCGGACTATGCGTATGAGTCCTTCGACCGCGAAGGGTGGGAAGCGCAAAGGCAGGCGCGCATGGAGCGATCACCCTTGCGTCAACACAAACAGGAGACTGCAGATGAGTGAGGCTATGGACTTTGATGCCCAGGACAATGTCCTCAAACGCCCGGAGCACCGGGGAACCAAATTCTACGAGCCCTTGGTGAAGCTGGGCCTGCAGCCGTATGTCGCCGAACTGGAGGCGGTTGGTTATACGGTGATACCACCGGAAAAAGTTGCCCCGCCGGAGTTTCTGGAGCGGATTCGCAGCGCGGTGCTACGTATCGCTTCACAGCGCCATGGTGTTGAGTTTCGTCCAGACGAGAATCCAGACCTCGAGGTTAACGCCGGCGTGCCGAACTCGGTGTATGACTTTTACCTGATGTTTGAAGACGAGGTGTTCGAGGAATGGCTGGAGAACGAAACCCTTGGCGCCCTCGTCGACTACGCCATGGTGGGCCAGGGGCAGCTTTCCAGTATGAGTTCAATCCTGAAATGGAAAGGCGGTACCTACGGGCCCGGGTTGGGCCTGCACAGTGATGCTTCAGGCTCTCCCGAAGGTCGCTTGTCAGCGGGCTACAACACCATCTGCAATGGTGCCTATTGCCTGTCTGATTACTCCGAAGCGGGCGGGGCGATCGCCATGGTCCCGGGCAGCCATCGTCTTGGTCGGCAACCCATCAAGGGTGAAGGTGTAGAAGGTGCGGTTCCGGTCGAAGCACCAGCGGGTTCGCTGATCTTCTGGCAGGCGAACATGTGGCATGGCGCCTATCCACGTACGATCGATGGGCTGCGCATGACGATCACTAACTTTTTCTGTCATCGCGCTTTCAAGACTCAGGAAAGATATCAGACGGCAGTGCCCGACGAGATGCTGGCGCGCCACAGCGAGCGGTTTGCCCGCTTTCTCGGTGCCGATGACTTCTATGGTTGGGGTAAAGAAGGTCCCGGTCCTTCAATGGCCAGGGCCACAACCTATAAAGAACGAACGCGCCCGACATCCTGATGATGGCGGAGGGTGAGGGAATGTCGCATGTGAAGACACAGAAGTGCGCATCCATCACCCACACCAAGCGCGAAAACGGCCGGAAACGCATCGCTATCTGCGGTGCTGGAATAGCAGGTCTGACCCTGGCGGGTATTGTTTCCCGGCGACTTAAAGATGAGGTGCGGTTGTCCGTGTTTGAACGGGCACCTGTCGATCGAGATCAAGGGTACGGCCTGGATCTCGATAAGAACGGCCAGGAGGCATTGGCCCGTGCGGGGGTATATCACCGCTATTGGGAGATATCACGTCCGCACTCGGACAGCATGGCACTTTTCCCGCTCAAAGGCTCTGAGACACTCGGCGTGCTTTTCCGGCGAGCTCGAATGCGGCGTTGGTTGCCCTCCTTGTTTGCAGCACGCCCCGAGACCAACCGAGGTGCGCTAAGAGATGTTCTGCTTGAGGGGGTCTCAAAAAACAAGAATGCCGACGTACATTTTGATACGCCGGTGCATGACCTGATTAAAACCTCCGGTGGGATCAAACTGGTCAGCCGGGATGACAAACCACTCGGCGAATATGATTTGGTTGTCGACGCCATGGGTTTGCATTCCCCGCTCAGACACTATCGCGTGATAGATGTCGAAGGTGGTAAACAACGCACTGGAGCCATTCTGATTCACGGCGTCATCAATGATCCGGACGCGAGTGGTAGCCCCGAACTTAAATCCCGGTTGCAGAAGTTTGGCAGTATCACAGCAGTGGGTCGTGGCTACATTGTTGCCATGCAGCGATTTGGCGCGGGCAGCGAAGACAACCGCACAAGCTTCTTCTACTTACTACATCATCTTTCGAGTGAATCTGAACTCTTTGCCGACATTGGCATAGAACCGCCAGATTCCCGCGACACGGGCATCATGCGCGACGAGCGTCTGGACCAGGTTAAAAGATGGGTCAAGGCGGACATGGGTGATCACTTCGACCCAGTGTGGCATAGCGCTGTGGATAGCCTGGACCGTGTCACTATCCGCGACGAGATCACCCATGGCAAAACCTCACTGCGTGAAAAAACCACAATGCCCATCGTCTGCATCGGTGATGCTCTACAACACTGCGGGTTAGGGGGCGGTGGTAATTTGGCGATGCGGGATTCACTCGAGCTCTCCAAACTGCTGGAAAAATCCGCTGCGTTCGATGACAACAGGAAGCCTTCTCTCAAAATGCTGCACCAAGCCGAAGTCAAAATGTTGCGCCGCAAACATGAGTTTGCACGGGATAAACATCGCCTTTTCGGGGTCTACCAGCAGAGAGTTGCAGCGCTCAGCCGTGGTGTAGGTTCGCTTGAAGACTGGATGCAACCAGGTTGGGCGCTGGCGTTGGCAAAGCCTGCGTTGGCTGCGTTTGGATCGTACACCCGTCGAGCGTATCGGCAGGAAGTGGGTACACATGGTTTTTTGACCTGTGATGAAAACACCCCAATCTTTCCTAACGTGAAGTCATTTCTTAAAAAGGAGGAAGGTAAAAGTGAATCATGATGAGAATTTATCAACCTCTGACGATCTTACCCAGTATAAGGATGCACTCGACAGAGAAGGGTTGGTGGTGCTGCCACCTGAAGTGACAGGGGTTTCCATGGCGTCCATCGAGCGGTGCGGCGAGGCGTTACTGAAGCGTTTCCAGGAAGAAACGGGCTGTGAGATCAACATAGAAGAAGGGCCACTTGGCAATGTTGAGTGGCCACAAAACATCCGGTCTGGTTTTCTCAGTAATCCCGATCAGGTCGGATTTGCGAAGCTGCTGGCCTGTGATCGTGGTTTCCGGGATCTGACCGTAAACCCGGTGGTTGATGCGTTGATTGATCATCTGATGGGTCGGATGCCGCTGAGTCGAAAGCACCCCGCCGGGCAGAAAACGCGCCGCTTCAGTAGCGCCCAGGGTCTTCTAAAATGGCAGGGTGAATCAGGCTATGGGGCGTCGCTGGGGTTGCACAGCGACCAGGGCGCATTGGGTATCTTTGCACCGCCCAGACCGTATTGTACGGCAGCGGCCACGACTGCCTTCGCCGCTAATGCCACCTGGTGTCTTACCGACTACACCAAAGAGGGCGGCGCACTCGCTTATGTGCTCGGCTCCCACAGAATCGACCACGAACCAGGACCCGAGGCTGCACGCGACGCGGTCGCGGTTGAAGCGCCGCGCGGTTCGGCCGTTGTCTTTCATGGAGCCACCTGGCATGGCGCATTCCCACGTCTGCTGCCTGGCGTTCGCCTGACCTACGTCGCCTACTATCGGCACGCCTCGGTTCACAGCCAGGAGAATTTCAAGATTACCATGCAGGATGGTGCATGGAGCGACTGTGATGATCCAGACGTTATGCGCGAGTTGCTCGGTTTGGACGACATGTTTCCGTACACGGTAGCCGAACGCGTCTATCCAAAGCTGATTAAAGGTTAAAGGTTAAAGGTTAAAGGTTAAAGGTCTTAAAAGAGGGAGTCGAGAATGCAACGAATAAAATTAGGTGGAGACAATGGCCTCGAGGTGTCCCAATGCGGCATGGGGGTAATGAGTATCACCGCGTACTACGGGGATCCAATTCCCGATGAGGATGCCATTGAACTGCTGCAGAAGTCGGTCGAGTTCGGTTGCACGTTTTTCGATACCGCCGAGGCATACGTTGCCGAGCATCCGGTCACGAAGGAACTTCTGTGGAACGAAGAGATCCTTGGTAAAGCCGTGGCAACCATCGGCCGCGACAAGGTCGAGATCGGCACCAAATTCGGTGGACAGTCAGCGGTGACCGGTCCGGCCAGCGGCGAGCATTTGAAGCGAGCCTGCCATGCTTCGCTCAAGCGTCTGCAAACTGATTACATCGACATGTACTACCTGCACCGGGTTGATCCGAATGTGCCGATCGAGGAGACCGTAGCGACCATGGCCGAGCTCGTGAAGGAAGGCGCGGTGCGGCATATCGGACTGAGTGAAGCTGCCCCGGATATTATTCGGCGTGCCCACGCGATCCACCCAATCGCCTGCGTGCAGCAGGAGTGGTCACTCTATACCCGAGACCTGGAGGAGGACATCGTCCCGGTTTGCCGGGAGCTGGGGATTGGCATCGTCCCTTACTCACCGCTGGGGCGCGGCTTTTTGAGTGATGATATGGTGGCGCCAACAGATGATGCCCGGCAATACTTTCCCAGGCTGACCGGAGATGCTTTTGCAGCCAACAAAGCATTGCGCGCCAAAGTGGAAGCGTTGGCAGAAGCTAAAGGCTGCCACACGGCACAACTTGCTCTGGCCTGGCTCTGGGCGCAGGGGCAGAAGCTTGGCGTGAACGTGGTGCCAATTCCCGGTACGACCAAGATCAGGAATCTTCAGAGCAACTGTCAAGCAGTGGAAGTAAGCATATCGGATGCTGAGCTCGTTGAATTGTCCGGTGTCTTCGACAGCGTCGTCGGCGAGCGGGGTTTCGAGCAGTACATGGACAGCACCTACCGGGTCAGGACCGATGCGCCAGCGGAATCCTGAGCAGCCTGAGCCAGCGGAATTGCGGAGGCGTCGTTGAGCCTGTCAGCCCACCTGACGTTTAACACTAAACTGAGCTACTGGTTCGGGCAGCTTGCGGAGGGATTGTTCAACAGTATCTTCGGAATTCTGCTGCTGTTCTATTTCAATCAGGTTCTGGGGGTGTCTGCCAGCTTGTGTGGCCTCGCGCTCATGATCGGCACCCTGGTGGATGCCTTTACCGATCCGATGATGGGCACGATCTCAGACAACTGCACATCGAAGCTCGGTAGGCGGCATCCGTTCATGTACGCGTCGGCTTTGCCGGCCGCCCTCTGCTTATGGCTGTTGTTCGTCCCACCTGTGCAGGGCGAGTGGCAGCTGTTTGCCTGGCTGACGGGTTTTGTGGTGCTGGCGAAGCTGGGTATGACCCTTTACCACGTTCCCCATCTGGCGCTGGGCGCGGAACTGACGCAGGACCACGATGAACGCACGCGTATCGTTGCGTTTCGCATGCTGTTTGGCGTCGCCGGCTGGATTCTCGTTACCATCGGATTTGCCACTTTCTTTGCAGCCACACCGGAATACGCTAATGGGCAGCTCAATCCGGCAAACTATCCTACGTTTATTGCGCTCGCGGCAGCGGGTGTTTTCATTTCCATTGTCGTCACGTCGCTGGGTACTCAAGGCATCGTCCCGCACCTTCCCAGGGCGCAGTCGAATACAGCGAAGAAACGTACCCAGGTGTTTCTTGATCTACGCACAGCATTTCGTAACGACTCTTTTCGGTGGCTGATCATCTCCTTCGTCTCCGCCACTATTCCGGCTGGCATCGGCGGTGCCTTCGCGCTCTACGTCAATACCTTTTACTGGGAGCTGACACCCAGCCAGCTGCCGGTAGTCATGATGGCGCAGTTTCTAGCGACGCTGGTCGGGTATGCCATTGCACCTGTGTTGGGCAGGGGGCGGGAAAAGCGCACCGTGCTGGTATGGGGGGTTGGTCTGTGGGCTGCAGCAACCGTGGTGCCTTTCCTGCTGCGCTTCGCTGGCATGTTTCCGGCCCCGGGGTCGGATGCAGCGCTTGTTCTGCTGGTGGCGTTCCAATTGCTTGCCGGTGCCGGTATCGCGCAGCTTGTCGTCGCTGTCAGCAGCATGATGGCAGATGTGGCTGATGAGCATGCGCTGGTCGATGGGCGGCGTAACGAAGGCGTGTTTTTTGGTGCGTTTGCTGTCTGCACCAAGGCCACCGCGGGTGTCGGTATTGCGATAGGCGGGGTGCTGCTCGATGTCATCGCCTGGCCTACGGGCGATACCATTCGTACAGCAGCAGACGTGCCGCCGGAAACGCTCACCTACCTTGCCATTCTGGCCGGTCCCGTGGTGGCCAGCGCCGCCGTGCCTTTCTTCTACTGTATCCGGTATTACAGGATTGATCGCAAGCGTCATGCCTCCATCCGCCAGGCGTTGGCTCAGTTGCCCCAGCGCAGTGGTGACACTACTGCCGGTGCTTTGTGATGGGTGTCGACAGGACGGCACAGATCACGCTCTGGGGAAGAGCGTCTTCCTGTAACGTGCAGAAAGTGTTGTGGACGCTGGAAGAGCTGTCGCTGCCCTACAAACATGTCCCGAGCGGCGGCGATTCTGGTGGGCTCGACGACCCTGCCTATCTTGCGATGAACCCCAATGGCCGGGTCCCCACCTTGCAGGACGGTGACCTGGTGCTGTGGGAAAGTGATGCCATTGTCCGTTACCTCGCGATGCGCTACGGATTCGGAAACCTGTGGCCAGAAGACGTTTGCAAACGTGCTCACGCGGATCAGTGGATGACGTGGGGTACCGTGGAGTTAATTCCCGACTGGATTGCGCTGTTCTGGCGTCTCGTGCGCACGCCGGTAGAAAACCGTGATGCGGCTGTTATCGCCCGGCACCTCGATGCCACGTGCAGACGCATGCGTCTGCTCGATCGGCATCTAGACCATCGCCCCTACCTCGCTGGCGATAGTTTTACGGTGGCAGACATTCCTGCGGGCATGACGCTCTACCGTTGGTACGCGATGGACATTGAGCGGCCGCAGACGCCTCGGCTGGATGAGTGGTATGCGCAACTCTGTGATCGCCCCGCATACCGTCAGGGCGTGTGTATTGGTTTTGACGATCTGATTGGCAAGGAGAGTTTCTGATGACCCAGGTTGTGGAGCTAAGTCTTCAACGGCTGCCCGCATGGTTGATGTGGCTCTGGGTGCTGCTACCCATGACGCAGGCTATCGCAGACGCGCCCCATCGCAATGTGTACTTTGGTGACTTACATGTGCATACGATGTACTCAGCGGATGCCTATAGTTATGGCGCGCGTACCGGTCCGGATGAAGCCTACGAGTTCGCCAAAGGAGCGGCTCTGCGTCACCCGTCCGGCCAGATTATCCGCATGCGCGGCGCGCCCTTGGACTTCCTGGCGGTCACCGATCACGCCGAGTACATGGGCAACGTCACCGCCCTCGAAAACCCCGACCACCCTCAAGCCGATTCGGAGCTGACTGCGGCGAGTGATGACTCGATCCTGTGGAATGTATTTGCGAGTTTCGGCAGGGCGATCCAGAGCGGCGAAATCGATCCCAGACTCGAGGATGAAAAAATACGTCGTGACACCTGGCAACGAATCGTCGAGGCCGCTGAACGGCATTACGATCCCGGTCGCTTTACGACATTTGTCGGCTATGAATATAGCCCCTCGCCAACGGGCATGCTGCATCGTAATGTCATCTTCAAGGGCGCTCGTGTGCCGGAGTTGCCATTCGGCGCAACCGATTCGGTAAATCCAGAAGACCTGTGGGCGTGGCTTGACCGGTTGCGGGCAGAAGGCATCGAGGCGCTGGCGATTCCTCACAACACCAACCTGAGCCGTGGAACGTATTTTCAGACCATCAATTTTGCTGGCAAACCCATTGATGAGGAATATGCCCAAGCCCGCATGCGCAACGAGCCGATCGTCGAAATCACTCAGGTGAAGGGTACTTCCGAGACCCATCCGCTGCTCTCGCCGAACGACGAGTGGGCTGGCTTTGAAGCGTTGACGCCAGTGGGTGAAGTCACGCGAAAGTCCGTTCAGGGGGGCTATGCGCGCGATGCTCTGTTGACTGGGCTGCAGTTACAGCAAATGGAAGGATTCAATCCCTATCAGTTTGGATTCATTGGCTCAAGTGACACGCACAATACGGGTGCCGCCTATGAGGAAGCAAACTATCACGGCAAAATAGGCAACCTTGACGGACGCGCTGAGTGGCGCCTGGTCGAGCCTGCCGAGGACGCTGCCCCGATTGAACACCTTCGTGAGCGCGCGTTCAATTGGAGCGCGTCGGGCCTTGCCGCGGTCTGGGCCGAAGCCAACACTCGTGAGGCCATTTACGCCGCATTCCGACGCAAGGAAACCTTTGCCACCAGCGGTACGCGAATCCGAGTCAAGTTCTTCGCCGGTTACGATTTTGACACGGTGGACCATGCCCAGCTCTACGCGACTGGCGTTGCGATGGGTAGCGAGCTGCAAGCGCATGTTCGCGGATCGCCGCGTTTTTTCGCCTGGGCAATGCGCGATCCTTCGAGTGCGTGGCTGCAACGCCTGCAGATTGTCAAAGGCTGGCTCGACGCTGGCGGCGAGCAACATGAGCGGGTTTACGACGTTGCCTGCGGTGACGGTTCTGCGCCCAGCCCGGACACCCATCGTTGTGCGGACAACGGCGCTGGCGTCGATCTCGCTACGTGTCGGTTCGATCACGACAAGGGCGCGGTTGAAATGAAGGTGGCCTGGATGGACCCGGAATTTGAACCCACACAACGCGCTTTCTATTACCTCCGTGTACTGGAGAACCCGACGTGTAGATGGTCGAGCTGGGATGCGTTGCGGTTGGGGATCCCCTTGCGTGTAGATAGGGACGCCACCCTGCAGGAGCGAGCCTGGTCGTCGCCGATCTGGGTGTTGCCAAGCACATAAGCTGAATAAAACGTTTCAAAAGGATTCACATGCGACTGAATGAAATTACCGTTGATGACACCGCAGAGAGCTGGACGGCTATGGGCTTTACTGTTCTGGATGGCTATGTGCCGATTGGACGCAGCCTTCGGTTCAAGCTCACAGGCGGCACGGGACGTGGCGTTCTCGACTACACCTTTGGCGATGCCGGACGAAAGGCGTCCCAATCCCTTGATATCAACGGGCTCAAGACATCGATAACAGGTCTGCCGGATTACCTTTCCGCGCCTGTTGTGAAGCACCCCAATGGCGTCGTTGGCTCGATGAAAACGGTGATTCTGGCGAACAGTGCTGATGCCACCACAGCGCAACTGCTGGCGTTGATGCCCGAACTGGGCCAACCGGCATTATCGAACACGTCCGAGACTGGCATACGCTACGACTACTGGACAAAACTGGATGAAACCCACTTCGAAGTCATCAGCATGAAAGATGAAGTAGTGAGAGATTCGGTGGCGGTGATTTTTCTTTTTGTTGATGACCTGGATGCCGCCATTGCCACCTTTGGTGAGACAAATGTCAGTGCGAAATCGGTGTATGACGGGCGCGATACGGTGCAGGTTCTGCCTGCATCCGGCATCAGCGCGAGCCTGCGGCTGATCACGCAGACGAAGAACGATTCGGAGCCGGAGGCATAGGTATGAGACATCAACGCGCTATTTGGAGCCTTGTGCTCTGCACAGCGCTGGCCGCCTACTGGCCATCGGTCCGGGCCGAGGAGGGCAAGGAAAGGTCCTATTCTCCGTATGCCGGCGAAACCTATCCGTCAAACGTCTACTGGGGTGACATGCACGTGCACACCAGTTACTCCTCCCACGATGCCTACATTGGCGGCTGGAATCGAGTTGACCCGAGCGTGGCCTATCGCTTTGCACGCGGCGAAGAAGTGGAGGCGTTCAACGGTATGCGGGTGCGTCTGCAGCGACCGTTGGATTTTCTGGTGGTGGCAGACCATGCTGAGGGATTAGGGGTCGCCAGTGCGCTGCAGCGGGATGACTCTGAGTTTCCCGACAGCCCGCTGGGTAAGCAGTTTCGCGACGCCTGGACCGAGTATGTATCGAAGTCGACTGCAGAAGGGCCAACTCTCTATTCGCCGACGGTCGCTCCGCTGATGGGATTGTTCTGGAACGAACCCATCGATCCGCCCTATCGCCGCACGCTCTGGCAGCAGGTAATCGCCAACGCGGATGCCTACAACGATCCGGGTAAGTTCACCGCGTTTATCGGCTATGAATGGACGTCATCGATTGCTGTGGAAAGTCCCGAAACGGGCCTTGCTAATCTGCATCGTGTGGTGGTGTTCAAGGATGGTGCGGAAGAGACTGCTCAAACCTACCCATTCTCTCAGGCAGATAGCGTCAAGCCGGAAGATCTCTGGCGGCACCTGGCGGATTACCAGGCGCGCACGGGTGGCGAAGCCCTGGCGATTCCGCATAACTCCAACCTGAGTCAAGGCCTGATGTTTCCCGAGCAGAACGGCACGGGGAAGCCGCTGGACGCTGACTGGGCAACACTGCGCAGTCAGTTCGAAACGATCATGGAGATTACCCAGATCAAGGGTGACAGCGAAACACATCCGGTGCTGTCGCCGACGGACGAATTTGCAGACTTCGAGACCTGGAACGACTGGGCTGGTCCACCGGCGACGGACTTTGTGCCGGATGATCCAGAAGATTTTGTTGCCCGTAAGCGAGGCTCTTATGCCCGCGCTGCCCTGCAAACGGGCCTGAAGCTCGAAGCTGAACTTGGTATCAACCCGTTCAAGCTTGGCTTCATCGGCAGCACGGACAGCCACACTTCACTGTCGACACCCGACGAAGACAACTTCTGGGGCAAGTGGTCCATCGGTGTGCCGAGCGCGGAACGGGTGTCGACGTCCGCCTATGGATGGTCCATGTCCGCGGCAGGACTTGCTGCAGTCTGGTCAACTCAGAATACGCGGGAAGCGCTGTTTGCCGCTATGAAACGTAGAGAAGTGTATGCCACCACGGGACCGCGAATTGCCGTCCGCTTCTTTGGCGGCTGGGATTTTTCAAAAGCCGATGCGGCCGCCCCGGACTTTGCCCGCATTGGTTACGCCCAGGGGGTGCCTATGGGCGGCGATCTTATCCGTAACGCTGAAGCTAAGGCACCACGTTTTCTCGTTCACGCGATGAAAGATCCCAACGGCGCCAATCTGGATCGTGTGCAGGTGATCAAAGGCTGGCTGAACAGCGACGGTGAGCTGCAGGAAAAAATCTACAACGTTGTCTGGTCTGGCGATCGGCAGTTGAAAGCGGATGGTTCGCTCGATCCGGTTGGCTCCACGGTGGATGTACCAGCGGCCACCTACTGGAACACAATTGGTGACGCGGAGCTTGCCACGGTATGGCAGGACCCTGATTTCAACCCGGCGGAACGCGCGTTTTACTATGCCAGAGTATTGCAAATCCCCACACCACGATGGCCGGCGTATGAAGCCAGATTCTTTGCGGTGAAAGACCTCCCGGAGGATGTGCCGCTGATCACGCGGGATCGCGCTTACACCAGCCCAATCTGGTACACGCCATAGGAGATCGGGAAGTATGAGCGGATCACTAGGCTTGATATAAAATATAAAAACTTATATAAAATAGAGTGGAAGTAGGATTGATCATTAGGGAAAGGAGAGAAACATGGAAATTAAGGACTGGCCGCTGTGCCTGCCACAAGCGAAGTTGTACCGCGAACTGGCGCAACTGGATTTACTGGAGAACCTTGCTGAACTCGACATGTTTGGCTTTACGGTTGTGCCACCAGAGAAGGTCGGGCCACCGGAGTTTCATGCCCGGGTCAGGCAAGCCGTTGTCAACGTGGTCGAGCAGCGCTTTGGCAAGCTTGGCAGTGACGGGTTGAGTTGGAAAGATCGCAACCAGATCATCCGCATGATCCTCTGGGATGACGAGGTGTTTGAGGAATTGGTCCTGAATCCTGCCGGTCTGGGGCTGGTGCAATCGCTGGTCGGGACCGACTGTATCCTGTCGTTGCTAGACGGTTGGGTAAAGGGGCCAGGCGAAGAACGCACAGCCCTGCACCAGGACAACTGGGATTACTCGCGACCCGCCAAACCCCCGGAACCGAATAGCGCAAATTTCAATTATCTTGTGACCGACTACACGGTCGAAGATGGCGCACTGACGTTTGTACCCGGCAGCCACAAGTTACGGCGTGCGCCGACACCAGCGGAAATCGAGCACTGGGCGGACAACGCCCAACCCATTGAAGCCCCCGCGGGTTCAATGGTGGTTTGGGGTGACCTGACCTGGCACGGCTCAATGCCCCGGGCCAAGATCGGCGAACGGCTGATGGTGCTGGGCACCTACCAGCGGTCAGTCCTGCAAACCCAGGGCCCTTACCGGGAGGTGGTGCCCGAGGAAGCGCTAGCACGAAATCCGCTCCGGTTTGCCGGCCTCATGGATGTCTACGGCGCGTTCCCGTTTGGCAAGCAGGACTTCGACGGTGAGCATTTACGCAAGCGTGCCGAGATTAGTGCTTATCACAGTTTGTTTGATCGAGAGCCTGCCGGGAGCAAGGTTTCGCGGCGTCCCAACTATGATTACACGGCCTTTGATCGCGAGAAACACCAGCAGGGCTTCGAGAAGATGAAGGCGATGCGAGCCGAAATGGAGAGCAAGAAAGCCGGCTAGTACGCCGTGTTTTACTATATCTGCAAGCGCCTGATGCTGATCGTGCCGACCCTCTTCGGCATCATCACGGTGAATTTCTTCATCGTGCAGTTGGCGCCCGGCGGTCCTATCGATCAGATTATCGCGCAGATGACGGGTGAGGCGGTCGGCGCAAGCAGCCGCATCGCTGGCGCTGCCGTTGATACCGCGGCGACCGAGATCACGTCGCAGTATCCCGGTGCGGACGGCATCGACCCGGCAATGATCACGGCGCTGGAAAAACAGTTCGGTTTCGACCGGCCGTTGCACGAGCGCTACCTGCAGATGCTCTGGGATTATTTACGATTCGATCTGGGCGAGAGCTTCTATCAGGACCGCCGGGTCGTCGACCTCGTGATTGAGCGGTTTCCGGTGTCGATCTCGCTGGGCCTGTGGTCGATGCTCTTGACCTATTTGATTGCCATTCCACTCGGTGTCGCCAAGGCAGTACGCGATGGCAGCCGTTTCGACGTCTGGACCAGTGCCGCGATTTTTGTCGGTTATGCAATGCCAGGATTTCTGTTCGCGATCCTGTTGATCGTCTTGTTCGCGGGAGGCACCTATTTAGATCTGTTTCCGCTTAAAGGCATCGTTTCTGAGAACTTTGCCGAGCTGTCGATGGCTGGCAAGATTGCCGACTATTTCTGGCACATGACGTTGCCGGTCGCTGCATTGACGGTCGGTGGTTTCGCGACACTCACGATGCTCACCAAGAACTCGTTCCTCGAGGAGTTGAGTAAGCAATTTGTGCTGACCGCTCGCGCCAAGGGTTTGGACGAGCGTCGCGTCCTCTACGGCCACGTGTTCCGTAACGCCATGCTCATCATTGTGGCGGGATTCCCGGCAGCATTAATCGGCGTCCTGTTCACCGGGGCGCTCCTCATCGAGGTGATCTTCTCCCTGGATGGGTTGGGCTTGCTCGGCTTCGAGGCGGCGTTAACGCGCGACTATCCCATCATGTTCGGCACGCTGTATGTGTTCACCCTGGTTGGACTGCTGTTGCACCTTGTGGGCGACGTCGCTTATACCCTCGTTGATCCGCGCATCGACTTCGAGACACGCGGTGCTTAGTCTGACCCCACTGACTCGGCGCCGGCTCGCCAATTTCCGCGCCAATCGACGCGGGGTCTGGTCGCTCAGGATCTTTCTCGTGCTGTTGGTGCTTGCGCTCTCCGCGGAATTCATCGCGAACGACAAACCGGTGTTGCTGAGCTTCCATGACAAGTTGTATATGCCGGTTTTGTACAACTATCCCGAAACCACCTTCGGCGGCGCGCTGCTTTCGGAAACCGACTACCGTGACCCCGAAGTCCGGGCCTTGATCGAGAACGGTGGCGGCTGGATGGTCTGGCCGCCGATACCGTTCAGCTACGACACCATCGATTGGCAAATCGGCGAGCCCGTGCCGTCGCCACCTTCATCCCGTCACCTGCTCGGCACAGACGACGTCGCGCGCGATGTGCTGGCGCGCATCATCTACGGCTTTCGGTTATCGGTGCTGTTCGGCCTGTTGCTGACACTGCTGAGCTCCGTGATCGGCATCGGCGTTGGTGCAGTTCAAGGCTTCTTCGGTGGTTGGGTCGATCTCCTCGGGCAGCGCCTGGTCGAAATCTGGGCGGGATTACCAATGCTGTTCCTGCTCATCATCATGGCGAGCCTCGTGCAGCCGAGCGTGTTCACGTTGCTCGGTCTGTTACTGTTGTTTAGCTGGATGGCGTTGGTCGGGGTGGTCAGGGCGGAATTCCTGCGCACCCGCAACTTCGATTATGTGCAAGCCTCGCGCGCGCTGGGTGTCTCGAATTTCGACATCATGCGCCAGGACGTGCTGCCCAACGCGATGGTCGCGGCATTGACCTTTCTGCCGTTCATTCTGACGGGCTCCATCATCACGTTGACCTCGCTGGACTTCCTCGGTTTTGGCCTGCCCGCTGGTTCACCCTCGCTGGGCGAGTTGCTTGCGCAGGGCAAGGCGAACCTGCATGCCCCGTGGCTCGGCTTGTCTGGCTTCTTTGCGTTGCTGGTGATGTTGACGTTGTTGATTTTCGTCGGCGAGGCCGTGCGCGATGCGTTCGATCCTCGGCGCTCTGTCGGCAGCGTAGGCGCGGGGTCATGAGTAAACGCATTGTGGAGGTCGACAACCTGGCGGTGGCGTTCCACGAAAAAACGGTCGTGCGTGATGTGAGTTTCCACATTGAACGGGGCGAGACGCTGGCCCTGGTCGGTGAATCCGGTTCAGGCAAGTCGGTCACCGCCTTGTCGATTCCACAATTGTTGCCCTATCCGCAGGCGCGTCATGCAACAGGTTCCATTCGCCTTGATGGCATCGAGATGATCGGTGCGTCCAAGGCGACGTTGCTGAAAATGCGCGGTAACCGAGTGAGCATGATTTTTCAGGAACCGATGACCTCGCTCAATCCGCTGCACACGATCGAGCGTCAAGTCGGTGAAATTCTGTTCGTGCACCAGCGGCTGGGCCGGCAAGCGGTGCACAAACGCACGCTGGAGTTGTTGGATCTCGTGGGTTTGCAACACGCGAGCGAACGGCTCAATGCATATCCCCACGAGCTGTCCGGCGGCCAACGCCAGCGTGTCATGATTGCCATGGCGCTGGCGAACGAGCCGGATTTGTTGATCGCTGATGAACCGACTACCGCACTCGATGTCACCATTCAGGCGCAGATATTGAACTTGCTCAAAGATCTGCAGAAACGGCTCGGCATGGCCTTGCTGTTGATCACCCACGACCTCGGCATCGTGCGCAAGATTGCCGATAGGGTGTGCGTGATGCACGATGGTGTCATCGTCGAAACGGCCCCGACCGAAAGCCTGTTCACTGCACCGACGCATGACTATACCCGGGCGCTCCTGACCGCGCAGCCCAAAGGCGCACCGGTTGTCGCCATGCCGGATGCGCCGCCGCTGCTGACCGCTACCGGAGTGTCCGTGCACTTCCCGATCGGCAAAGGCTTTTTTTCGCGGAAACGGGTTTTGAAAGCCGTCGATGATGTCTCCATCAAGATCAAAGCCGGACACACAATCGGCATCGTCGGCGAATCGGGCTCGGGTAAAACCACGCTCGGTAAAGCCTTGTTGCGGCTGGTTGCGAGCCAAGGGAGTGTCGTTTTCGACGGCGATCAACTCGATGGTCTGAGTGGTAACGCGTTGCGACCGTATCGCCACCGGATGCAGATCGTCTTTCAGGACCCATACGGCTCGTTGTCACCGCGCCGTTCGGTCCGCCAGATTGTCGAGCAAGGCCTGCGCGTGCATGAGCGGATGCTCGACGACGCTGAACTGGCCACGTTGGTTGACCAGGCATTGATCGACGTCGGGCTCGATCCGGCAGATAAGGAACGTTATCCCCACGAGTTTTCCGGCGGTCAACGGCAACGTATCGCCATCGCCCGAGCCATCGTGCTGCGTCCCAGCCTGATCATTCTTGATGAGCCGACCTCGGCGCTGGACAAGCCGGTGCAGGCGCAAGTGGTTGACCTGTTGCGCGAGCTGCAAACCCGCTACGGCTTGTCGTATGTATTCATCAGCCACGATTTGAAAGTGGTCCGCGCATTGGCCAATGAAGTAATCGTGATGAAAGATGGCGTCATCGTCGAGCAGGGCACGGCCGCGGAAATCTTCGCTCATCCCAAACAGGACTACACCAGGGCGTTGGTCGCTGCGGCATTCGATATGGAAGTGATCACATGAGGTGCTGGCCGGCGATCCTGACACTGCTGGTTGCCGGCTTCGGTGCGTTGCCGGTGCTGGGCGAGCGCGAAGCCGCGGCTGGCTCGTGGCAACACGGCCTATCCTTCTACGGCGACTTCAAGTATCCCCCGGGTTTCACTCACTTCGACTACGTCAACGCGGATGCGCCCAAGGGCGGCAGACTGGTTCGCGCGATCGCAGAGAACTTCAACAGCTTTACCCCGTTCATCGTCAAAGGCATCCCGGCCCCCGGGCTCGACGTGATCATCGAGCCCACTTTGTACGATTCGCTGCTGCGGCCTTCGGGTGACGAGATCGGGGTGTACTATGGCAATCTTGCAGAAGCCATCGCCGTTGCAGACGACATGACCGAGGTGCGTATGCGGTTGCGGTCGGAAGCGCGTTGGCACGATGGTGTGCCGGTGTCCGCTCGGGACGTGAAATTCACCTTCGAGCATATTCGCGACAATGCGAATCCGGGTGTGAAGGCGGCGTACTTGTCGGTCAAACAGGTCGACGTCATCAATGAGAAAGAGGTGCGGTTTCAGTATCGCTTTCCGGTCAACCTGAACGCCATGATGGCCCTCGGTAAAGTTGCCATATTGCCTGAGCACTACTGGCGCGACCGCGACATCACTCAGACCACCACTGAACCTCCGTTGACGAGCGGGCCCTATCGGATTGGCCGCTTCGAGATGGGCCGCTTCATCGAATTCGAGCGCGTAACTGACTACTGGGGCAAGGATCTGGGCCTGCATCGCGGCAGCTTCAACATTGATGTGCTGCGCTACGAAGTCTACCGCGACGCCACCGTACAGCGCGAAGCGTTGCGCAAAGGCCTGTTAGACGTATTCTACGAGCCGAGCGCTGCTCAGTGGGTGACCGGATACGAAAGTCAGCCTTTGCTGGTGCGCGAGCACTACGACTATCAGCATTACGCCGGAGTTATCTCAGCGCTTGCCTTCAACTTGACGATGGAGCGTTTTCAGGACGTGCGGGTTCGAGAAGCGCTGTCGCTCGCCTTCGATTTCGACTGGATGAACCGCGTGTTCGATTACGGGGTTTATGAGCGACCACGAAGCTACTTCCACGGCACCTATCTGGCGGCGACGGGAATGCCCTCCGCTGACGAGTTGGCGCTGCTCGAACCGTTTCGCGACCAGTTGCCTGCCCGCGTGTTTACCCATGCACCGTTCGAGCCGGCAGCAAACGAGAGCAGGCGCGAACGGCTTGTCCGCGCCCAGGCGCTGCTCGCTGAAGCGGGCTGGCGTCACCGCGACGGGGTACTCGAGAATGACGAAGGCGTGCCCTTCAAGGTGGAGTTTCTCGTCACGGGACAAGGCGGTCAACGCACACGCTTGCCTTATGTCGATCAATTGCGTCGGCTCGGTATCGACGCTGCCGTCCGACTGGTCGAAAGTGCGCAATACATCAATCTTCGCCGCGACAACAAAGGCGACGCGGTTGCGGGGAGCCTGGCTGTGAGCATACCGCCGAATCAGGAAGTTCCGGCCTATCTCAGCTCGGCAAGTCGAGGGTCCGCGAATTTTGCTCATCTGGCTTCACCAGTCGTCGACGCGTTGATCGGGCACGTGCTGGGTGCGCGCAGCCGGGACGACCTGATGGCCGCGTCGCGTGCACTCGATCGCGTGCTGTACTGGCAGTTCTACTTCGTTCCCTTGCGGCTGGTCGACGGCATCAACATGGTCATATGGGACAAATACGGCAAACCAGCAGAGCAATCACGTGATCTCGGCGGTTTCCCCAGCACCTGGTGGTGGGATCCGGCGAAGGCGGCGCGCGTCCGCCAAGCCCTGGGCGAGGATTAGCAGATTGTGCTTGTCGTAAAATATAAAAAGTTATATAAATAGAGTCGACTATTTGGTGGGGGAGACCATGCCCTATTTGACGCTTAACAATGCAAAATTATTCTTCGACACCATTGGTGAAGGTGAGCCGATCCTCACCACCCATGGTGTTGCCGAAAATGGGTCTTATTGGTCGCGTACAGGTGTCTCTGAGCAACTGGCAGCCGCAGGCTACCGGGTCATCGATACGGACATGCGTGGTCACGGCCGCAGTGTGCCGCTGGGTAAGGGTGACGCGGGCTATGACGTTGCAACCGTGGCAGACGATTTCGCCCGCGTCGCGGATCATCTTGGCATCGACAGATTCCATCTGTTAACCCACGCCACCGGTGGTATGGCGGGGCTGCACTTTGCCTGCCATCACAGTGATCGTTTGCTCAGCCTCATGAGTACTGATTCGGGCTCCGCGACCATCCCATCGGATGAGTATGCAGATGAGCAATTTGAAAATCGCCCTTTTGAACTGCGTAAGACGCCGTTTAAAAATCCAATGGCTGACAATCGGGAAACCATGCTGGTTTTAGATACGCTGAAACGAGCACGCAACAGCAGCGGGGGTCCTTTCCTGAATCGCCTGAATGCAAATCCTGAGCCTGACCGTTGTTGGGCGGAAACGGCTGACATTCTCGCTACCAGCACGTCGTTTCATGTTGCGGACTTCATGCGCCGTTTTTACACCAATCCCGATCCGAAAATTGCGCAGCTGCGCCAGATTCGATGCCCTGTACTGCTGCTGCTTGGCGAACACGACGTGATGTTTGTTAAACCGAACGAACTGATGGCCCGTGTGATACCCAATGCAAAACATGTGGTTATGCCGGGTCTTGGACACATGACCGCCATTGAGGACCCTGACGGGCTGACCCACGAGCTCCTGTCATTTTTGCAGGAGGTTCAAACAGGATGAGTAAATCCTCAGCCAGCACAGGCATCAACGAGCGTTACTTTGACACGCTTCCCCCAGATGCGATTGCGGATGAACTGCGGCCAGAGATGGAGCGACTGGGCCTGGTTGACAACTGCCGTCAACTCGCCACCCAAGGTTGGACGGTGATCGAAGAAGCGGCTTCAGCTGAATTCAACGCCGCTTTCCGCGACAAGATATTGCAGCTGAGTAAAGGCGCAGGCGCCAATATGCTGCTCGCCAGGGATGCGCTGTTCGCCGAGGCAATACTCAATCCGAAGCTGCTGGCCATGGCGGAATTTTCTGTTGGCCGTGGTTTCCTGCTCAGCCAGGTCGCCGCGAGCGTGCGTGGTAAAGGTGCAGCCAGCATCGGTTTGCATGCAGACAATAACTGGATTCCAGCCCCGTTTCCGGCGCACAACATGTTGCTCACCGCCTGTTGGGCGTGTGATGAATACACGCAGGAAGGCGGCGCGACGTTAATCGTGCCAGGCAGCAATACGCTGCGCCGGCATCCGGATGAGGAAGAGACACAAGCGTGTGCTGGTGCCGTACCCATTGAATGCCCTGCGGGTTCGGTGGCTATGTGGGACGGCAACCTCTGGCATTCGAACTATCCTCGCGACATTGATGGCGAGCGGGTGGTGTGCCACATCACCTATACCCGCTTGATGTGTCGCCAGGTAGAAGACTACGAACCCTGGGCTGATGAGCTCATCGATGCTCACGGTGAAAAAATGTCCCAACTACTCGGCAAAGGGGATGCGCTGTTTAAACGCACCGGTGCTGACTACAGCAAGCTGACACAAACATTTAACGACGCAAAACGATAGAAACTCGCAAAACCGGAGGTAATCCATGAAAACCACAACTGCACAATCCCCAGACAAAGCAAAAATGTCCCCGATCCTGTCCCGTATGACACGCCGGGACGAAGACGCACGTCTTCGAGTTCTGGCGAACATCGAGGCGCTCGGTCTGAACGATAACCTGCTCGAACTTGAAACCCAGGGGTTCACCGTAGTCAAAGGAGCTTTGTCGGAAGATCAGATCAACCGCGCTAAATCCGCTATCTTGCGTAGAGCGGAGAAGACTTCTGGCAAGAAAATCGATCCTGATAATGCCACCGCTGAAGACTTTCACGGCATGAACTATCTGCATTACCTGATCTTCGACGATCCGGTGTTCCCGGAGATCCTGCTGGAAGAGAAGCCGCATGCACTGATGCAATACCTCCTTGGCGAAAGTTGTGTGCTTTCCTCTATGGGCAGCCATTTTCGTGGGCCGGGTGGCATGCCGCTCCCTATGCATGCGGACGGAGTGTCCGTGGGTATGACCGAGACATCCCTGGTTGCAAACTGCAATTACGCGCTGACGCCGTATAACCAGGAAAACGGGGCGTTGGTTCTCGTGCCCAGCAGTCATCGCAAAAATCGGCAGCCGACCGCGCATGAGAACTGGATGGCCGGGCATGAGACCGTGTTGGAGGTCATGGCGAAAGAGCTACCACCGGAGGAATTGGACGCGATTGAATGGACGCCGCCAGTCGGCGCGGTAACCATGGAGATTGATCCGGGTGATGCGGTGATCTGGCACGGTAACACCTGGCATGGCGGATGGCGAAGGGAAGCGCCCGGCACGCGGATTAATCTCGCAGCCTATTTCTGTCGTCCGCACTTAACTACCCAGGAGCGCCGCGGTGATGATCGTTATCCGGAAGTCTTCGAACGCTTCGCCAATGAACCGCGCTTTGCTCAACTGATGGGAGAGAACATCTACAACGGTTGGCGTGAAGAAGGACCTGATTTTACCGGTGGGAAAAGCGCGCCTTCAGGGTTGTTCGACTAAGGAGGCAGCGTGGAATACGTACAGCTTGGCCGCTCGGGGTTGCGGGTGAGCCCCCTTGTGCTGGGTACAGTAAATTTCTCCTGGCTGACAGACGAGGCGGACTCGTTTGCAATCATGGATCATGCATTGCAGCTTGGTGTCAATTTCTTTGATACATCGAATAACTACAACGCAGGTCAGACGGAGGCTTTGCTGGGGCGTTGGTTTGCGCAGGGTGGCGGACGGCGTGACCAGGTTGTGCTTGCCACCAAAGTCTATTCGCCGCCGAACGAATGGGCATCACCGGATGAAGCCAAGCGTACGGGAAGCTGGGTGGGCCCTAACGAAAGGGGTCTGTCTGCCAAAAATATTCGAGCAGCCGTGGATGCCAGCCTCAAACGTTTGCAGACCGACTACATCGATGTGTACCAGACACACCATGTTGACCGCCTAGTGCCCTGGGATGAGCTGTGGCAAGCCATGGATATTCTGGTCCAGCAAGGCAAGATCCTTTATGTAGGCAGTTCAAATTATGCCGGTTGGCACATTGCACAGGCACAGGCTGTCGCCCAGCAGCGCGGCAGTTTTGGTTTTGTCAGTGAACAGAGCGTTTACAACCTGATGAACCGTCACATTGAGCTCGAGGTCGCTCCCGCGTGTGATGCTTTGGGATTAGGTCTGTTGACCTATAGTCCTCTGGCGGGAGGGGTTCTGGGAGGACGCCTCCCTGAAGGTGAAGCAGGTCGTCGTTCGTTTATGCCAAATACCGAAGCTGATCGTCTGCAGCGGTATCTGGCCTTGTGTGAGGATATTGGCGAGTCGCCGGGAGACGTTGCATTGGCCTGGGTTGCCGCCCAGCCCCATATTACCGCACCTATCATCGGGCCGCGGACCATGGATCAGTTTTCAGGCAGCGTCAAAGCCATTGACATACAGCTGAGTACAAGTGTGTTGGAGCAGCTTGATGAGCTGTTCCCAGGACCCGGCGGTCCGGCACCTGAAGCCTATTCGTGGTAGGTATAAATCAAGCTGAGCGATGGAGGAAATCAACATGGAAAGACACGGGTTCATCAAGCTCATTGTGGGCAACCCTGATCGCGGCGTGAGTTTCTATAGCTCGGCCTTCGGATTGCGCGATGCCGCGTGACCTCGACGTTGTGATCTGGGGGGCAACTGGCTACACCGGGGAACTGGCCGTGGCTTATCTCCTCGGCGATGGGTCCAGGATCCGTTCCTTTCCCTGCGAGCAGCCCGCAGCGCCTGCTGACCTGCGATGGGCGGTAGCTGGCCGCAGCCGCTCGAAACTCGAAGCACTCGGCGCCGGGGTTGAAACGATCGTCTGCGACGCCGACGACAAGGCTGGAATCGAGGCTTTTGTCAAGCGTGCGCGAGTGGTGATCGGCTTCGCCGGGCCGTTCCAGAAGTACTCTGACCAGGTTGTTGAGGCGTGCGCGAAGTACGGCACACATTGGTGTGACATCACCGGTGAGATCATCTGGACGCGCTCGCTTATTGATCGTTTCGGTGACCGGGCGCGCGCCAACGGCGCCTGCATCGTGAACCTCTGCGGCTACGATTCGATTCCGAGTGACCTTGGCACGTTGTTTGCGATTAACGCACTGCGCTCGCGAGCTGAGTATCCCCTGTCGCCGATCCGTTCGGTGGTGAACTACCAGATGGGCCTTGAGGGTGGCGGCGGCGGAAGTCTCCAGACCATGCTCGTCGGCATGACCGAGCCGATGCAGCTATCCGGCGGTGTTGATCGCGCCGACCCGTTCCTGCTCGGCGGCGAACCGGCCGGGGGGGTGCGTGAGGAAGACCGGCCGATGAAAGATGCCTATTTCGACGAGGCGCTCGATTCGTGGATCGGCCCGTTTATCATGCAGGGCGTGAACCCATTGGCCGTGCGTAGGTCGAGTGCGTTGCTCGGGTATGGTTCGCAGTTTAACTACCGGGAGGTCGCTGCGTGCCGGAATGAAGAAGAAGCTCAGCGGAGCGTCCAGTTTGTCACCGCACCAGCGCAGCCGGAGGATCTGCGACGTAGAATCGAAGAGGGCACGTTGCCGAAGCCTGGCGAGGGACCGTCTCCCGAAGCGCGCGCCCGCGCCCGTTTCCAATCGACGCTGGTTGCCTGCAATGAGGCGGGCGAAAGTGTGACGGTAACCGTAACGGGCGCCGAAGTCGCTTACGAGGAGACCGCCAAAATGGCGGTAGAGGCAGGGCTCGCGCTCGTCTACGAGGCGGCCTCGTGTCCGGGTGTGGTATCAGGTGGCGGGTTCCTCACGCCAGCGGCCTGTATGGGCACGGTGCTGATTCAGCGGCTGCACCGCGCGGGCATCCATTTTGGCGTGGTGTCTGATGCTGCGCGCCGGCCCGCCGCGGAGTACGCGGGCGAAGCGATCGCTCGGTTCCGGGCAGCAGATGCTCGAAGAGAGGCAAGAGAAAACGTGGCAGGGGAGGAGTAGCCGTATGGCCTGGAAATGGGAGCTGACTGTTGAGCAAGCCATCGACCGCTACGGTCTTGATGAACACGTTCGCAATATCGAAGAACAAGGTTTCACCATTGTGCCGCCCGACCAGACCGGGTTTTCACAGCGGGAGGTTGAGCAGGCCAAACAGTGCATTTTAGCGGAGGCGTCTAAACGCACCGGGGTCCGCTGGGACGAACAGCACGGCGCCCTTGATGAATTTATACCAGGCCGCCACCCACCCGCTTACTGTTATGTCACCCGTACGTTCGAGATCGATCAGGTATTCCGGGACTTTCAGACTAACCCCGTCCTCAATACCCTTCACCGCGGCATCATCGGTGATGCTTTTCGCATGCGCACGGCCAACGGTATGTGGAAGTGGGCCAATGCAGACGGTTGGGGGCCTGATCACGGTCTGCACACAGACACCCTCGGCATGATCTTTGATGTTCATCATCCCTACGTTGCGAACGTCAATTGGCTGCTCACAGACTGCGAAGCAGACGATGGGCCCATCTGTTTTCTGCCGGGTTCGCATAAATTCGGCAAGCTGCCGCAAGGCAATCTGACGGATGAGCTGCGCCAACAGATCCAGCCGATCGAAGCAGAAGCGGGCTCGTTTGTCATCTTTAATGGTAGTACCTGGCATGGCTCCTGGCCGCGCAAAAAAGCCGGGCTACGAATCACTACACACACGATGCGGGGTTTTCCGGGTTTACCCCTATGGGATTTCAGCGATTGTAGTGAAGACATTATTCGCTTGAATCAGGAGCCGGATTTGTTTCGCATGTTGTGCGGTCAGCCACTCATGCGCGGTGACAATCCGGGCTTCCTGCCGCAGCGGAAGCGCGACTCAACCGCAGTTGGATAAATAAAAATAAGAACAAAGCTTTGCTTGTTCGGGGAGAAACATGTCAAAACAAACAGGCCGCCTGAGCGGCAAGGTAGCCCTCATTACCGGCGGTACCAGCGGCATTGGTGCGGCCACCGCGCAACTGTTCATTGACGAAGGCGCGCAGATTGTCATAGCGGGACGCAGTGTAGAAAAGGGCCAGGCCCTGGCGAAGCTGTTGGGTAACAATGCGCTCTACGTGCAGGCCGATGTCACCGAGGAGGAAGATATTGCTGCCAGTATCCAGGCCGCGACCAACCAGTTTGGCCGCCTGGACATTCTCTTCAACAATGCGGGCGGTCCGGTAGGCGCGCCTATCGATCAGCTCTCGCAGCAGCACATCGATTATGGTGTAAGGCTGCTGCTTTCCAGCGTTATGCTGGGGACGCGACACGCGATTGAACCGATGAAAGCCGCTGGCGGCGGTTGTATCATCAACAACTCCAGTATCGCAGCGATACGCTATCGTCAGGGCGATGTGCTCTACTCTGCGTTGAAGGCGGCTGTTACCCACTACACGAAAATGGCCGGCATTGAGCTGGGACCGTTGGGGATTCGCGTCAATGCCATCTCACCGGGTGCAATTGCAACGCCGATTTTCTATGGTGGCTCGGGACGCGCTAACACGCTTTCGGACGAAGAGAACGAGCGCAAGATGGAAAAGCTCAAAGCCAATCTGGCCAATGCCGTACCGCTCAAGCAAACGGGTCTTGCACATGATATTGCCGAAGCAGCCCTGTATCTGGCCAGCGATGCAGGTCGTTTTGTCAACTGCCACGATCTGGTAGTGGACGGTGGCCGCACCTCGATGTTCTACGAGCCTAACGACTGATGCGCTCAGGTGAGGTGTGCCTGTCATGTTCCTGAATCTGAAAGGAGCGATTGTTCACTATCAGGTGAGTGGTGACCCGGGGCGGCCAGCCATTCTGTTCTGGAATGGGGCGGGTTGCTCGTTACAGATGTGGAACAATATTGTTAAGCGGCTGAAAGAAGATTTTTATCTGATTCGGTTCGATGTCCGAGGCACCGGGCGTAGCAGCGCTACGGCGAACCCCGCCCGCGAGTATTCGTTTGAGCAGTATGCGGATGATGTGATTTCAATATTGAATTCACTTGGCGTCGACGTGTGTCATGTATGGGCAATGGCCTGGGGTTCGAGAGCGGCGCTGGCTTTCTGTGCGTTACAGCAGGCGCGAGTGAGGTCTGCCGCCTTTTTTGATCTGAGCATAGGCAAAGCCGATGTCGAGGCGCAGCAACAACAAAGTCTAGTGGCACGCAAAAAACAATACGCTGCCGGCATTGTGGAAGAACCGGCTCCGCTCGGTTGGAATCAGCATAACCATCCTGAAGAGGTGCCAAAAGCACTGTCTGCGGCCGCCCGCTACGATCTGCGCGCAGCAGCGGCAAACCTTGCTCTACCAGTACTGGTGGCCACCGGCGATCACGATCCGAATCTGGCGTCGAGCCGGGAATTTGTTGCTATGACGCCAAGTGCTTCTCTTGTTGTGATGCCCGATGTGGGTCACGGCAGTGTGCTGCAACGGCCGGGTTTAACCACTGCCATCTATGAGGAGTTTCTCAAACGCCATGTTTGAATGGAGAACCGTGCTGGTAACCGGTGCTGCCAGTGGTCTTGGCCGCTGTTGGGTGGAAAATTTTGTTAAGGACGGCGCAACAGTCATTGCCGCAGACATCAATGAAGAAGGTCTGGCTGATTTGGAAAACACCCTGAATTATGTGGTGGACGTTACCGATGCGATTCAGGTTGAACGGATGGTTGAATTTGCCATAGAACAAACCGGTAGGCTTGATGTGCTGTTCAACAATGCAGGACTGGGTTATAGCACCCCTCTGGAAGCAAGCGCGACGGGTGAGTTTGAAAATCATGTCGCCGTGCACCTGTTTGGCGCTGCCAATGGTATGCGCGCAGCGATTCCGCATATGCGCCGGATTGGCTATGGACGCATTATCAATACTCTATCGCGGGCGGCGGAGGTTGATAAGCCAGGTACATCAGCGTATGCGGCGGCCAAAGCAGGGGTGTGGGCGTTGTCTCGGGTGGCGGCGCAAGAAGTAAATGATGCGGACATCTGCGTGAACATGTTGATACCGGGCCCGACTAACACATCTATTTGGGGGAGAGATATGCCTAACCTTCAGGATGCTGCAGAGACCTACCCCACAGCAAAAATGCTGGCTTCGCTACCTGCAGGTGGTCCCACCGGCAAAGTCTTCTGGAATGAAAAGGAATATAGTTTGTTCACCACCAGGGCCAAAAAGGAATGATATGGCAGAAATGAATTACGGCGTCGATTATTCAGACATAAGAGAGCAGGTAGCCCGACTGTGCTCACATTTTCCTGGTGAATACTGGCAGAACCTGGATGAGAAAGCCGAGTACCCGCATGAATTTGTCAATCAGCTGACCGAATCGGGTTACCTGGCTGCGCTCATTCCAGAGATCTATGGCGGCGCGGGTTTACCCATTCGCGCAGCGAGCGTGATCCTGGAAACAATTCACAGCCATGGCTGTTCAGCCGCAGCAAGCCACGCCCAGATGTACACCATGGGTACCGTGTTACGTCATGGCAGTGATGAGCAAAAACAGCGCTATCTGCCTGCCATCGCCTCTGGCGAGCTGCGTTTGCAGGCTTTTGGGGTGACTGAGCCCACAACGGGTTCTGATACAACACAACTGAAAACACGCGCTGAAAAGAAAGGCGATCAATACATCGTTAATGGCCAGAAGATCTGGACCAGCCGCGCACACCAATCGGATCTGATGTTGTTGCTGGCGCGGACGACGCCAGTGGATCAGGTGGCTAAACGTACGCAAGGGTTGTCCACGTTTCTGGTTGATCTGCGTGAAGTGCGCGGCAACGGTTGTGAAATTCGCTCGATCCCAACCATGATCAATCACAACACCACAGAAGTATTTTTCGAAGATATGGCCATTCCAGCCAGTGCCCTGGTAGGGGTAGAAGGGGAGGGGTTTAAAAATATTCTATCCGGAATGAATGCGGAGCGGATTCTGATTGCCTCCGAAGCATTGGGTGATGGACGTTACTTTATTGACAAAGGTGTTGCCTACGCTAACGAGCGAGAAGTGTTTGGCCGTCCAATTGGTCAAAACCAGGGCATCGCGTTTCCGTTGGCGCAAGCCTACGCGCAACTGGAAGCCGCCGAGATGATGATTCGCAAAGCTGCCGCACTGTATGATTCAGGACAGGATTGCGGTGAAGCAGCGAACATTGCCAAGTACCTGGCGTCGGAAGCGGCCTGGAAAGCCGCAGATGAGACCTTTCAAACCTTTGGTGGGTTTGCGTTTGCCAAGGAATATCAGATTGAGCGCAAATGGCGGGAAGTTCGTTTGTGGCGCACAGCACCGATTTCAAACAACATGGTGTTGAATTTCCTCTGCCAGAATGTGCTGGGATTGCCGCGTAGTTATTAGCCGCCCGATGGTTTGGATTGTACTAAAGCCCGTTAACAAGGAAGCGAAACATGAAATCTCCCATATGCGAACTGCTTGGAATTGAATTCCCTTTGGTGGCCTTCACGCACTGTCGTGATGTGGTCGTAGAGGTGTCGAAGGCCGGGGGGATGGGTGTGCTCGGCGCGGCCGGGTTCAGCCCCGAGCAGCTCGAGATAGAGCTGAATTGGATTGACGAACACATCGACGGTCTGCCGTATGGCGTGGATCTGATTGCCCCGACGTCGCTGGCTGCAAGCGACGACGATACGGGGGAGTCGTTGCAGGCACGCGTGCCGGATGAGCATCGCGACTATGCGATAAACGTGCTTGCCCAGTACGACATTGACGCCGGTGATGTCTATGAGAATTCACGCACGGGCGTTGCCAGTGGTTTTCTTACGGAGAACAAGGCAACTAACATTATCGATGTGGCTTTCTCGCACCCGATCAAGCTCATCGCCAATGCGCTTGGTGTGCCGCCCCGGTATATGTTGGAGATGGGCAAGGCGCGGGGAGTTGCCACGGCGGCTCTTGTCGGCGCCAAAGAACATGCCACCAAACAGGTGGAAGCTGGCGTCGATATCCTTGTCGTGGCAGGCACGGAAGCCGGTGGTCATTGCGGCGAGGTGAGCACCCTGGTGCTGGTCCCGGAAGTGGTCGATGCGGTAAAGGGTTCTGATGTCTGCATCCTCGCTGCAGGTGGCATCGTTCGGGGTCGGCAGATGGCTGCCTGCATGGCCATGGGGGCACACGGCGCCTGGACTGGATCAATGTGGCTCACCACCACCGAGGCGGAAACCTCGCCGGTGGTGAAAGAGAAGTACACTCAGGCAAGCTCGCGACACACAGTCCGTTCGAAATATCGAACAGGCAAGTACTCCAGACAGCTGCGTTCAGCCTGGACCGATGCCTGGGAAAGCGAAGAGGCTCCGGAATCACTGCCCATGCCGCTGATGTCGCTGGTCAGCGAACCGGCTTTGCGCCGTGTGACCAAGCTGGCTGAAGGCGGGCATCAGGGCGCTCGATCCCTAGCCACCTTCTTCGTCGGTCAGGGCGTTGGATTGATGAATGAGATTCAGGATTCGCGTACGGTCGTCCGGGAATTTATGGAAGACTATCTGGAAGCGACGGATCGGCTTGCTGCAACCCTGGACGATTGATCGAGGCGGAGCGGACGATAGATAACAAGTTCGTTAACGGCTATGAAACCTATGTTTGGAGGAAAGCCTGATGGCTGACGAAGAATCCCACGGAGTATTGCGTGAGATAAATGAAGGGCGGGTACGGACACTTTTGTTTAACCGACCAGAAGCTTTGAATGCGATGAACAACGCGCTGTTTGTTGCAGTGAGAGATGCATTAAACAAAGCCCGCAAAGATGATTCGGTTGCGGCAGTGATTCTGTCTGGAGAAGGCCGAGCGTTCTGTGCCGGGTTAGATCTAGCTGCGGTGGGAGAGGAAGGTTCTGGTCAATTCCCTGGCATGTTTGCCGCCCTGAATTCGTTTGATAAACCGCTCATCGGTGCTGTTAACGGGCTCGGGGTTGGCGTGGGGATGACCATGTTGGCGTATTGTGATTTGGTCGTGATGGCGCAGGACGCCAAGCTGCGAACGCCGTTTCCGCAACTCGGGTTGGCACCGGAGGCGGGCAGCAGTTACACCTTTCCTGCTCGCTTAGGATGGCAGAATGCGGCCTACGTTTTGATGTCCGGTCGTTGGTTCAGTGCGCAAGAATGCCTGGATATGGGTTTGATCTGGAAAGTGACATCTGCTGATTCTGTCATGCCCGAAGCACAACAGGTTGCATTGGAATTGGCTGCCAATCCCATTCCTTCGCTGATTGCCACCAAGTCGCTGATGTTGGCTGCGGGTCGCCAAGAGGGTGCGATGGCAGCGCATAAAAAAGAGAACGATGCATACGCTGTACTAATGGGTGGCCCGGCAAATGCAGAAGCATTCCTGGCGTTCAAAGAAAAGCGAGCGCCGAACTTTTCCAACATCGAAGGCTTGTAAAAAAACAGGAGTCACCATGGGGTTAAAGGAAGAAGTGGCCACAAGCCGACAAGCATCCTTTGTTGGCCAGGATATCAATTGGTTGATGGCGCAATGGGCAGAGCGCTCACCGGATAAAATCTGCTTTATATGGTGCCCCTTTGAGGGGGAAGAGCAATCCTGGACCTATAAAAAGCTTTATGACGATGCTGGCAGGCTGGCAGCAGGCCTCCAGCAACGAGGTGTAAAGGCAGGTGATTTTGTCATCATTCACCTCGACAATTCCCCGGAGTTTGTCCTCTCGTGGTTTGCATGTGCTCGTATCGGAGCCGTCGCGGTTTCCACCAACACACGTAGTGTTGCAAGAGATCTTGAGTATTTTTCAGAGGTGACAGAGGCGGTTTGTGCCATCACCCAACCAGAATATGCCGCGATGATCAGGGGCGCTTGTCCTGGATTAAATTTTGTTTCCGTGACAGATAATGATGCCGGCAGTCCGAAACAACAGGACGCTGTATTGCCATTTAAGGCGCTGTTTTCCGACGCACCCGCTGAGGCAGTCGCGATAGACCCGGCACGAAACTTGAGCGTTCAGTTTACCTCCGGTACTACTTCCAGACCCAAGGCTGTGCTCTGGACTCATGCTAATGGCTTGTGGGCGGGCAAGACCTCAGCAATACACATGCGCTTGCGCACAGAGGATGTGACGCTGATCTACATGCCGCTGTTCCACACCAACGCCCAGGGTTACTCCATGTTGTCGACCTTCTGGTCAGGGGGAACCATTGTCGTGCAGCCGAAATTTTCTACCTCCAGGTTCTGGGATGTATCCCTGCGCCACGAGGTGAGTTGGGTGTCCATGATTCCCTTCAGTGTAAATGCACTCATGGCGCAACCGGTCCCGGAACACAAGCAGCGTTTTTGGGGTATGGGTGCAAGAGTGCCCGCAATCGAACAACACTTCGGCGTGAATATGATTGGTTGGTGGGGTATGACAGAAACGCTGACTCAGGGAATAGTGACTGACCTTGATCATCCTGGACCCCAGGGAACTATCGGACGTGTCGCGCCGGAATATGAAATTCAGCTCAGAAAAGCAAATGGTGACCTGGCCGGACAGGGAGAGAAAGGGGCGTTGTTTATTCGTGGTGTGCGGGGTGTCACCCTGTTCAAGGAATATTATCGGCACCCGGATGCTAACGAGAAGTCCTTTGATGAAAACGGATGGTTCGAAACCGGTGACCTGGTGAGAATGGATGAAGAGGGTTGGCTGTTCTTTGCGGACAGAGCCAAAGACATGCTCAAGGTCGGTGCCGAAAATGTCGCTGCATCAGAAATTGAAACGGTAATCATGCAAACAGGCATTGTGAAAGAATGTGCCGTCGTGGCGCAAAAACACTACATGTTAGATGAGGTACCCGTTGTTTTTGTCATTCTTAATGATGCTGGTCTTGCACTTGAGGAAGCTGCGGTAAAAGAAAAAATCATATCCCTGTGCGAAGAATTTCTAGCAGACTTCAAGGTTGTGCGAGATGTTCACATTGTCGATGAACTGCCGCGTTCGACTTTGGAAAAAGTAGCTAAAAACGAACTGCGAGATCGGTTGACGGCAATAACCTCAGCTGATGGCTAGGTCTTCTTCGAATATTGTCAGCCAAACGCTGCATCAGCGAACGCACGAATTTCTCTCATAGGATCAGGGCCCGCCGCGGCGTATACAATTTCTGTCGTGCCAAGCTCTGCTTCTTTTGCAAGGCGCTGACGGAAGTACTCACGCGTACCCACCCAACCTTGAGGCTCCCAGGAAAGTTGGTCTCCTGCTGCATCAATCAGAATTCGATCGAGTTCATTTATGTGTGTAGCGTGGCCTTCGTGCACGGCAAGATGCCGAAGCGCTTCCGGGTGGTTGTCATTTAGCTGTTTCAGATATTCTTCGCCACCCGGAATGGACTTGAGGCTGTCATGAGACCTTTCCCACAGACCGTGATACCACATCGCCCACCAGGGACCAGCGGCTTGAATCACGCGCTCATCGTGTAGACCCTCGCCTTCATCCAGTACCGTGCCGTTTATTAGATTTACGTGCGTAGACCACGAGCCATCTCCGCTTTGGAATTGGATGAGCCCGTCCGCAATTTCACGTGCGATGCCTTGTCCTTTGGGACCCAGTGCGGACAATATTAGCGGGAACTCAACCGGTCTGGCTTTTGCCATATGGGGATGGTGGATCATTTTGCAGGGTTTACCTTCAATCTCTACCGTTTCGCCAGCCAACAGGGCACGTAACTGTTTTAAGTAACGGGTTGTATAGGCCCAGGTCAGCCCCCTCTGACCAAGTACAACCCGGGCAGTAAAACCTGTACCAAAGCCAAGGGTTAATCTGCCAGGCCACATTCTCTCCATCGTAAGAACAGCGGATGCGGTTGTCATGACATGACGCAAGTTTGGGACAAGCACTGCGGTGCCTAGCTGTATCCGGTTTGTATTTTGAGCAACCATACCAAGCGTCATCCAGACGTCTTCCCAGATACCTGCGGAGTCGTACAACCAGAGCCGTTCAAAGCCCAGCTCCTCGGCGAGTTTAGCGCCTTCTAAAGCATGAGGTCCGGGTGGAAAGCCGATCGAAATTGTTGGTAAGGTCATGTCTATGTTGCCGCTCGCGGTAATGGCAGTACCTGGCGCTGGTAGGGGACACCAAAACCGGCAAATTCTTTGAACAATTCTGGGTTGACACAATCGTCCGCCAGTTCACGTGGAAAGTGATTCGGGATGTCATCCTGTGGCAGCATTGCTGCATGGCGAAAATAGTTGCTGATTGTGACCCTCAGCCCTGGCGTAGTACGTGGATACGCGCCGTGCCACAACTGCCCATGGAACGCGATAAGCGAACCTTTTGGACATTCAACAGGAATCGCCTGCTCAACAGCTTTCGGCATAATAGGCGCGCAATCAAATCGATGTGAGCCAGGCACACAAGCAAACGCGCCATTTTCCCTGGTATAGTCTGTCAACACCCAGTTACAGTTTGCTGCCAACGCTCGCCCCCAGGGTAACTGATCGCAATGCAAGCCGAGAGACTCGCCATACCCTTCACCAGCCCACTTAACAAAACAGTTGTGTGAACTGAACCGCGCCATGCCGCCCAGGATAAGTTGCATGAGCTGCGATGCCACTGGATTTACCGCGAGGTCGCGAAAAGCGCGGTGAAACGTACACAATTGCATTAATTGAAACTGGCTGGGTTTCACACCAGATTGGCGTTCCAGCGTTCCCTTGTAGTCGCCATAATCGAGTTCACAGGCAGGACCTTCCTCAACACTGAACCTGCAACCCACCAGTTCCTCACTTTTTTCAAGTAGAAGGTCACACAGGTGATCAATCACATCTTCAGAAACGCCTGTAACATCAGGGGGCACCACGGTGAAACCATTCAGTTCAATCTCCAAGGCGTATTTTTCAAGGCCCAGGTCTTTGATACGTCGCTCTGCGGCTGTGTAGAATTTGTCCAGGGTTTCCATTGTCCTCTCCAGCCGTTAATTTGTACCAGCGGCACTGTCTCTATGGTAAGCGCTAAGCGGGCCGCCTTCGATGGTGATGCGGTGCATCTCACGGCGCTCGCCATGGTAATCGTTTGGTGCGTAGTGCCAGGTGGCGCGGTTGTCCCAGAAGGCAATGGAGCCAGGCTCCCAGTGAAACTTTGTAACGAAGGGGTCGGTGACTGCCACCTGGTACAGGTACTCAAGCAGTGGTGCTGAATCTTCAGCGGACCAGCCTTCAAAGCGGAGGGTGAAATCAGGATTCACGTACAGTGCTGGCTTACCGGACAGTGGATGCCTGATCACTACCGGGTGAATCACATCTTCCAGCACATCAGCGGCTTCAGCATTACCAATCCGGCCTTCAGTGACCTCCGCTCTATTGTAGCGATGATCAGTGCCAAAGCGATGTTTTGCTGAGTGCACGGCGCGTAATCCATGGAGCGTGCGTTTGAGGCCATCTGACAGAGCATCATAGGCCTTGTACATGCTCGTGAACCAGGTTTCGCCGCCCTGGCTCGGCAGTTCGCGGGCAACCAGGATCGAACCCAGTGCCGGGCAGGCATCGTAAGAATGGTCAGTATGCCAGCCGCCACCAATGTTGAGCTTCTGGTCTTTTTCCTTGGTGACCATAGCAATCTGTGGATATTCGGTGTGTGCTGCGAAGAAGCGATTGATGTTGATGTCGCCCCAACGTTCTGCAAAAGTAATGTGATCGCGCTCACTGATGTCCTGGCCGCGAAAGAACAGCACGCCGTACTGAGTAAACGCTGCGCGCAGTTGCTGCAGTTCATCCTCTTTCAGGGCATGGATGTCGCACCCGGTAACTTCCACGCCCACCCCGGGTAGCGGTTCTAACTCCATCATGGCTTGCTCAAAAGTATAAAAAAATATATAAAAGAAAACAAAAAATCAACAACAAATCAGGAAGGAACAGTGAGTATGAACTTCGAAAACCGGGTTGTTGTGGTGACCGGTGCAGGCAATGGTATCGGCCGTGCTTATGCACATGAATTTGCCCGTCGCGGAGCCAGAGTTGTCGTCAATGATCTTGGTGGTTCGGTGGATGGCCAGGGCAGCGACAGCGCCACGGCAGACGGTGTGGTTGCAGAGATCAGATCCGCCAACGGCCACGCCATCGCCAACTACGATTCAGTACTGGACGGCGCACGCATAGTCGACTCAGCCTTGCGCGAGTGGGGGCGTATCGACGTTCTCATCAACAATGCGGGCATCGCCTACGCCACGCCTTTCAAGGACATGACACCTGAGTTGTGGAAACGGATGCTGGATGTGCACATTGAGGGTAGTTTCCAATGCACACAGGCCGCGTGGCCGCACATGCTCGAAGCCGGTTACGGTCGGCTGCTCTTCACCTCATCGCCTTTCGGCTTGTATGCAGCAGCAAACTTTGCACACTACGCCGCAGCAAAAGCGGCCATGCTGGGGCTCGCCAAGGCGCTCGCGCTGGAAGGGAAGGCGCATGACATTCATGCTAATGCGGTAGCGCCGTTCTCGGCAAGCCGTATGACTGGACGCTCCAATGAAGAGCAGGAAGCAAGCCCGTTTGGTCCCCGTTATCTTGCGCAACTCGCCGTTTGGCTGTGTCATGCGGATACTCAAGAGACAGGTGGTGTGTTCGAGGTCGGTGGCGGCTTTGTACATCGCGTACGCAATGAACTGAGTAACGGTTTGCATCTGCCTGGGGACGAGTACTCCGCGGAGAACATTGCCGCCAGCTCCTCCACCCTGGACGATTTCAGTGCCAGCATTCACCCTGGTTTAGGCGAATCCTGGACCATAGGCAGAGACGTCTTTGGTGAAGAATGGCAGGCGCAGTTTTAGGTTTGAGCGGCACAAGAAAGATGTTCAGGGTGATGTGAACGATGCGAATTCAATTGAACGGTTGCAGCCATCCAGTTTGCGGTGATGGAGTGATTGCAACCAGCGAGTATCACGCGGCGCGGCGGGGTTAGCCCATTTCAGCGCTGGCGAATGCTGTGGCTTTTGCGCGTGAAGCGGGCAGTGCTCAGCTGGTCATTTACGCGGGTGATGAGTGTCTGCTGAACGAGGCTTTCAGTCCTGCTCCTGTAGATGTATACGCAGTACAGAAAGGCCTGGTTGCAATTCTTACAGTCAAAGCTCAGCAGATCGGTCTGCTTCAGATCAGTGACGCCATCAATCAACATCTGGGTCCGGGATGGACACAACTGGGCCCGGCGGACGAAGCCAGGCTGACCATTGAAAACCTGCTGACCATGACCACCGGTATGGACGATGATTTACAACCGTTGGGAGAGATTGGTCGCAGCTGGCGCTATAACAATACGGCGTACCAATACCTGAAGAAAATTCTATGTCTACGTGCCGGCCACTCCCTGCAGGCATTGTCCGAACTTTGGTTGTTTGAACCCCTGGGCATGAAACAGACCACCTGGGTGGAACGTGCATCCTTAATGCCCGATGGCACACCGATCACGGGTTTGATGTCCACGGCCTGGGACCTGGCGCAGATGGGTCGGTTGATACTGGGGCGAGGCAGCTATGAGGGAAACAAGCTTCTGGTGGATGACGGTGTGTTTGACCGGCTTATTCAGCCGGGTTCCGAGGAGAACCCTGCGTGGGGTCTCTTGTGGTGGAACAATCGTGGTAGCCATTACCCGATACCCATGCAGGAACATAAGGTTGTGCCAGGCTCCATTCTTCCGAACGCACCGGCTGATCTGATGGTCGCCAGAGGCGCAATGCAGAACCACGTCTCGGTTTCACCTTCGCTGAATCTGGTGGTGGCTCGAACCACACAGGCACCGGTTGCGGGTGAGCGTCCGGCAGCGTTTGAAAATGAATTCTGGCGATTACTGCTGACCAACAGGAATCAGATTTAACTGTCGGCGTGCCTCGACACGCTTGTCAGAAAATATAAAATGTTATATAAGTATGACCGCCAATTTAGCACTCAACAAGAAGGAGTTAGGTTTTGGAACATCTGTCGCTCGAAATACGAAAGGGTGTTGCCATCGTCACTTTCGATAATCCTCCGTTATCGGTGATGACACCACAAACCATTCATGAGTTACATGAGTTGTTGCCGCGCCTGGAATCCGAAGAGGTGCGTGCGGTTGTCATAACCGGCAGTAGCGATGAATTTTTCGTACGCCACTTTTCGGTCGAAGAACTCGACGATAGTGCTCAAGGGCATGGTGCGCAGTGGGAAGTGAGCATGATCGATGTGCTCCTGCGTCTTGAAGCGCTGCCTAAACCCGTCATCTCCGCTTTGAACGGGACCGCTATGGGTGGCGGGCTTGAGCTTGCACTGGCAACAGACATTCGCGTCGCGAAGGATGGTCCTTTCCGCTTTGGGCTCCCGGAGATTTCAGTGGGCATCCTGCCTGGTGGCGGGGGTACTCAGCGCTTGAGTGCGCTGATCGGCCGTCACCGCGCGCTGCTGATGATGTGGCGTGCGAAACTCTGCACGCCGAGCGAAGCGCTCGAGATTGGCCTCATCGATGAGTTGGTTGACCTGAACGAGAAGGCGACGGCGTTGGATCGCGCCATAGAACTGGCAAGCGAAATCGCTGCGCGCCCTCCCTTAGCGGTTGCCCACATCAAACGTCTTGCGCAAACCTCAGCGAGTCCTGTAACGAAAGAAATGTTGCAGCTCGAAGGTAGATTGTTTGGTGAGCTTATGGCTACCGATGACGCTAAGCGGCTGCTGGCGCAGGTTGCGGGGGAACATAGAAAACAAAGAGAAGGGAAATAGGAGGCGCTATGAAGATTGGCTGCATACCCATAAACATCGGCCTTGATGGGGAATCAATGGTACGCATCGCACAGCATGCGGAGAATGTGGGTGTTGAATCACTCTGGACCTTCGAGCACGTCATGGTGCCCGAAGATTATGTATCAAAATATCCGTACAGCGCTGATGGAAAGATGGGCGCTGCACCGGAAACCAGCTTTCTTGATCCACTCATCGCGTTGGCCACAATTGCCGCGCACACAAAAACTATCCGTCTGGGCACCGGGGTCAATATCCTGCCGCAGGTCAAGCCCCTGTTGTTGGCCAAACAAGCTGCGAGTATCGACGTGCTGTCCGGTGGACGGCTGATGCTTGGGCTCGGTATTGGATGGCTGCAGGAAGAATTTTCTGCCATGGACACACCTTTTGAAAAGCGTGGCGCGCGCTTTGATGACTACATTGCCGCCATGAAAAAAGTCTGGTCAGGTGATGCCATTGAACACGATGGCGAGTTTGTTCAGTGGCAGGGGTTCAAAAGCTACCCATTGCCGGTACAGCAGCCTCTGCCTGTTCACATCGGTGGTTCAAAAGGCAAGGTGATGCAGCGCATCGCCCGCTATGGCGAGGGATGGTACGCCCCTGAGGCTGCGCCAGATCGCATGCGCCAATCACTGGATGAATTGCGACAGGCATGTGAGGCGGAAGGCCGGGATTTCAACACAATTGAGATCACCTCTAGCGGCAGCATGGACGCAGATCACATCAAAGCGCTGGAAGAGGTTGGCGTGCACAGGGTGACGCTGCCGCTGTTTGGCCTGGCCGGCGAAAAGGACATTTTTGCGGGCCTTGATGCGCTGGGTGAGTTCATTCAGAAACTAGGCTGAGTGTGATCACAAGCGACTGCACGCAATGAGAACCAAACTGATAGATCGGAACTTTTTATGACTAACAAAGCACAACTTCCTGCCGAGGAATTAGGGTTTGATCCGGATGCATTGAGGGAGAAGTACCGCCTCGAACGTGATAAGCGCCTGCGACCAGATGGTAGTAAACAGTACCAGGAGGTTACAGGCGATTTTGCTCGTTATGTAGACGACCCTTATGTCGAAGAAGTGATCGCTCGCGATCCGCTGTTTGATGACGTCGAGGTTGTCGTGATCGGCGGTGGTTTTGGAGGGCTCATTACCGCTGCACGACTTCGCGAGGCAGGGGTAGAGAAGATCCGCATGATCGAAAAAGGCGGCGACTTTGGCGGCACGTGGTACTGGAACCGCTATCCCGGTGCAGCCTGTGACGTGCAGTCCTACATCTATCTACCACTGTGCGAAGAACTTGGTTACGTACCTAAAGAAAAATATGCGCACGCACCGGAAATCCTGGCTCACAGCCGCAGGATCGGCGAGCACTATGATTTGTATGAAGATGCCTGTTTTCAAACGGAAGTGTCCGGGCTTGAATGGAATGAAGATGAGGCTCGCTGGATCATCAGTACAAATCGTGGCGATGCGATGCGCGCTCGGTTTGTAGTGATGTCGAACGGACCTTTGAACCGCCCGAAACTTCCAGGCATTGACGGGCTATCCGATTTCAAAGGGCATACGTTTCATACCAGTCGTTGGGACTATGACTACACAGGTGGTGGTCCGGATGGGGGTCTGACCGGGCTCGCAGACAAACGGGTAGGCATCATTGGTACGGGTGCCACCGCGGTCCAATGTATTCCCCATCTGGGGGAGGGTGCAAAGGAGCTGTTTGTGTTCCAACGCACCCCATCATCGATTGATGTCCGCAATAACAAGCCCACCGACGAAAACTGGGCTGAAAATCTTCAACCAGGATGGCAGCGGGAGTTGATGGAGAACTTCAACTCACTGACTTCCGGCGAAGTGCTGGAAGAGGACCTCGTGCAGGATGGGTGGACCGAGATTATTCGTAATCTCTTGTCTCTTTCGAACTGGCGTGCAGAGGGCGTGGACTGGTCTGAGATACCGAAGCTGATGGAATTGGCGGATTTCGAGAAGATGGAGCAGATCAGGTCTCGAGCGCAAGCTCTGGTGGATGACCCGCAAACGGCCGAGGCACTCAAACCCTACTACAGACAGTTTTGTAAACGGCCCTGCTTTCATGATGAATACCTACCCACTTTCAACCGGGAAAACGTGCACCTGATTGACACCGACGGTAAGGGTGTTGAGAAAATCACCGAGCGCGGAGTAGTGGCCAATGGTGTCGAATACGAGTTGGACTGCATTGTGTTTGCCACAGGGTTCGAAGTAGGTACGGAATACACCCGTCGCTCTGGATACGATCTGGTGGGTAAAGATGGCCTTACCCTCAGTCAGAAATGGTCTGATGGCATACGGACGCTCCATGGCTTACACACTCATGGTTTCCCTAATCTGTTTGTGATGAGCAATGCGCAGTGCGCCTTCACCGTAAATTTCCCTCACGCCATGGATGAAACGGCGACCCAGATTGCGTACATCGTGGACCAGTGCAGGCGCGGAAACATTCGTACAGTGGAAGCCAGCAAAGAAGCGGAAGATGCCTGGGTTGAGGAGATTGTCTCGATGGCTCGCTTCAGTGAAGAATTCCAGTCGTCCTGCACACCCGGCTACTACAACAATGAAGGTCAGCCGAATCCCAAGAGTGTGCAGAACGCCAGTTATGGTAAGGGCCCAAATGCGTTCTTTGCGAAGATGAAAGACTGGCGTGAGGAAGGCTCAATGGCGGGGCTGACCTTGGGTTAGTGGTTGATTGATCTCGTTGGTGTGCTCTCCCCTCCATTCTCTCCAATCACATCGACGGTATCGCCGGCGCTTAGGCGCCGGTTTCTTTTTCTGACTTTGAGTCCAGCGATAGGTTTAAGGTCCGGGTGCTTAACGAACTGTGCATAGGAAGAACATGGCGATCGAACTGAAATCAAACGACCTGGATTTTTCTCCGCTGCATGCGGCGGTACAACGATACGTGGACAGTGGCGTCATTCCGTTTGCCAACTCGGTGGTAATGCAGGGTACGGATGTCGTTGATCTGCATTTCTACGGAGACACGCTCCTAGAGTCAGGAAAACCCCTTGCGGAAGATTCCATCTTTCGTATGCACTCCAGTACGAAACTCGCCTGCTCAATCGCGTTGATGCAATTGTGGGAGGCGGGATCGTTCAAACTCGAAGACCGCCTGGAAGACTATATTCCGGCATTTGCGGATATGCAGGTATTGAAAGAGGACGCTACAGAAATCGATGATACAGAGTCCGCTCATGGCAGTATTCGGATTAATCAGGTGCTGTCTCACACAGCGGGGCTGAGCTACGGTTTCATTGATCCGGAAGGACTGATTGACGGTGCCTACAATCAGGCCGGAGTGAACCCGATGGTTCCGGGAATGACGTTGGAGTCGCTGTGCGAACAGCTAGGGAAATTACCGCTTGCTTATCACCCTGGGACTTTCTGGCGCTACAGCTTCGCCACTGATGTCTGCGCTCGATTGGTAGAAATACTCTCTGGGCAACGGTTTGATGAGTATTTGAAGGCGCAGATCTTTGAACCCCTCGACATGGTAGACACAGATTTCTATGTCCCGAAAGAAAAACTGGACCGATTTACCACCATGTATCTGCCAGATGTTCCTCTGGACCCCATGAGCGCCTGTCCAACACCAGCGGATGTGCCGAGCACCAGTGCAAACCGGAATTTACCTTCTTTTCTCTCTGGTGGTGGTGGCCTGATGTCTACGCTGATCGATTATTTGAACTTTGCCAGGATGATCGCGGCAGGCGGAGAGTGGAATGGAGAGCGAATCATTCAAACTGAGACCCTCGAACTCATGCGAACCAACCAATGTGCGGAAGGGGTAACTGTGAACTTCCCTATGTGGAGTATGCCGGGTACGGGATTTGGTCTGGGCTTTGCAGTAAAAGAAAAGCCGGCCGAGGGAGAATCGGATTCAGCGATCGGAGAATATCACTGGGGAGGTATGGCTGGGACTCACTTCTGGTGGGCACCTAAAGCCAATATTGCTGGTATCTGCATGACACAGCGCATGCCTGGTTTCTGGCACCCATTCAGCCACGAATTCAAGAAACACGCGTACCAGATCGCAGGGTGAGCCAGAGTCGATTTATCGCGAACCAGGCGAGTGGTTTGGATCAAAAACCTGGTTCCCGCCGAAGACACTAGCATGGCGCAGACCTCCGCGCTGCCTGCAAAACAGCGCATGTTCAAATCGCTGCGCAGCCGCGATTTCCGCTACCTTTGGATCGGCAATCTCGCCGCCACATTCGCCATGCAGATGCAGATGGTGGGGCGGGGCTGGCTGATATACGACATGACCCAGTCTCCGGTCCAACTTGCCTGGGTAATGATGGCTTTCTCGCTGCCGATGATGCTGTTCTCGCTATACGGAGGAGTAGCCGCCGACCGCCTGACCAAAAAATGGGTCATGGCCTGGGCCCAGGGAGCGAACTGCGCAAGCACCTTTGTGTTGGCAGCCATTGTCATCAGCGGCCTCGTCGAGTTTTGGCATTTCATTGCGTTCGGCTTGTTCAACGGCACTGTCATGTCGTTCAGCATGCCAGCCCGGCAGGCCATGATTCCGGAACTCGTGGGAGACGATCAGTTGGTGAACGCGGTAGCGCTGAACTCTGTAACGATGAACCTGTCTCGCGTGCTGGGTCCAAGCATGGCCGGCCTGATCATAGCCATCGTCGCCGCGGGTGACACTGGCTCACAGTTCGGGGTAGGCGTGTTGTTCCTCGCCAACGGACTGCTTTATCTGATTTCTGTGCTTACGGTCGTGGTGCTCGACCACAAGGGCAAGTCTCAGCTGCTGGAGCGAGGCACCATCCGCAACGACATGCGCGATGGCCTGCAGTACATCTGGCGCCACCAGCTGTTGCGCGGCCTGATCATCATGACCTTCATTCCGCTGTTGTTCGGCTTTCCCGTGCAGTCGCTCATGCCAGTGTTCAACCACGACGTGCTGCACGGCGGCCCGGACGATCTCGGCATGCTGCTGAGCGTGATGGGGGGTGGCGCCATCTTGGGCTCGGTGATGCTAGCCCGCATCTCGGATACCAAGAGCAAAGGCACCATCCTGTTCGCCACTGCGTTTGCGTGGGCGGTCTTTCTGGGCGCCTTCGCGCTTTCGCCGTCGCTGTGGTTTGCGCTCGCCACATGCGCACTCATGGGGCTTGCCAGCTCCGTATTCATGTCGCTGCACATGAGCATCATCACGCTGATCATCGAGCCCGAGATGCGTGGACGGGTAATGAGCATCATGATGATGACGTTCGGGCTGATGCCCGTGGGAGCCCTACCGGTGAGCTATTTCGCCGAAACCATCGGAATTGACGTGGCGCTAGCCGGTTGCGCGCTGGGGCTGGCAGTGTTGACTTTGGTCATGCTGATCTGGGTCCCGGGTTTGCGTCACATCGACGTGGCCAACAAGGCGCCGTTGCGCAGTCGCGTCGACGGCTAGGGCTTCGCCCTATGTCATTATCCCGTTGGCGTTCCAGCGCTTTAGCCACGCCGTCCGAGTGACGCGCGAATTGGACGCAACTAGGCTGTATCTCAGCCGGCCTGACAGAACTAACACCGGGAATGAATAATCCCTGGAATGCAAAGGTATTTCCCTCTTCGGAGGATTAGGGAAATTATCGCGATTACGCTGATTTTGTGGGCTTCGTTGGTGGGGATAGCGCCGAAGATAGAGAGAATTTTGAGATTTCCCTGCTAATTCCCAGTAGATCAGGGAATCCGTAGAGACGATTTCGCTGGAGACTCCAACCACCGCCATTTTGTCAAGTATATTTGGCTCTACCCAGTTAACGGGGGAGGCTCTACCCACTGGCTCTACCCACTTAACGGGGGATGACCGTTATTCACTAAACCCCCTACACACGGTTGATGATGCCATCCCACCCACAGTGGGTTAAGACCCTCAATCGATAATTCTCAAAATTTCTGAAGCCATAAGCTTGTGTGTGGCGAAATGGTAGTCAGATCGAAATTGGTGTGTGGAATAACCCGCGGCAATGTTGCCGCCAAGTGTAACAGTTGATATCTGCAAACGTTTTGTTGGGGTGCTGGGAGTAGCTACCCGGCGATTGCCCTGCAAGTGCGTCATGTGTTTGGTAGTTATTGTAATAGTCTTTGAATTCGCCCAGTTCTCGTTGCAAATCCAGAGAGTTCCAGAACGGTACATGATCAAGATACTCACGCCGGATGGTGCCGATTACGCGCTCGATAAACGGATGAGACATGGGGACGTACGGAACGCTTTTGATTTCTGTCACATCCAGGATTCTCAGATTCGCCTTCCAACGATGAAATTGGAAAAGCGGATCGTTGTCGCAACTAAGGTATCTGGGTGGATCAGTCCCTGAAATAGCGTGGTTGAACATTCTGCATACGGCGATGCCGTCAACGTCACCTTGATGAATGCCAAAACCGATGATCCTGCGACTGTACTGGTCCATGACAACGAGTACCCAATACGATTTGAGCGTGAAGGATTCACAGCGAAAACGATCGATACTCCAAAGGCTGTCTTTGCTGTGCCCGAGTAGCGACAGCCATGAGGGGCCTTGTGTGTTGCCTGGCTTTGGCTTGTAGTGTTTGGCGAGCACGCGGCGCACGACATCCTTGTTGACCTCAAAGCCGAAATTGAGGGAGATGATGTAGGCGATTCGTGGACAACCATAGCGGGGATTACGCTGTTTTAACTCGACGATGGCGGCGATGAGTTCCCGAGAGAGACCTTTAGGCCCTGGTTTTGTGTGACCGCTGGTGCTAGATAAGCGGCGATATTTGCGTTTCACTAAGGCGCGATGAAATTTCAAAAGCGTAGAAGTTCGGATGATCACGACAACGGATAATCGTCTGCGCGTAGAAATGAATAGAGACAATCCGCCTAAAATGAAACGGTCACTTGTTTTAAGGTTGGGTGCCTTTCTCCTAGATCGACCCAGCACTATGAGTTGTTGTTTGAGGAGCAGGTTTTCAGCAATGATCGCTTTGATGCCACCGGGTCGGAGCATCTTGGCGAGAACCACTAAGATATGAACAGCTAGCAGAATCACAGATCTCATGCTGCTCTATCGTAGATAGGTATCAGTTCACTACAAGGCTGTTATTTTCTTTGGTATTTTGCCGTGACTACGAATTCGCCATGCACAGGTCAGATATCCGGACCTCGACGCTGTTGAACGGCCTGCTTCTCTTGCTGCTCGTGTCGCGCAAGTTCAACCCTGGCCATTTCCGCGGTAGCGCCACGTGCTTTGCCGATCTTCATCATGCTGTCCTGCAGCACCGTACGCATGAAATTGACACCGGCGCCCTGCTGTACGATCTGTATGGCGAGAAAGCGACCACCCTCAATGTACTGCTTGTTGCCGTGGCGAATGGTCACCCCGTCGTCACTTATGCTAAGCACGTTGGCCGGCAGGCTCGCATCGATAACCGGAAACAGGTGGTAGCGAGTGCTGTGATTGTTGTTGGGGTTTAAGGCTGTGCCTCCGAGCCTGCCTAGATGCTGGTCTGACAAAGACTGTCCGTCGAGTTGCCAGACCATCTGCGTCATCTGGGATTTGCGTTCTGAGAAGTCCGGCTGGCCGTACTTGCCGATGAGCGCCGCAACTAACGAGTCAAAGTCGGGGTAGGTGCTGCTATCTACATAACGCACGTCACGCAATATGGACTCCACCTGATGTGCGTTTGGAGGGCCGGCGAATACTGCACTGATAGAC